ACACCACGTAGTGACAAGAAAGAGAATGACAGGCACAGGTAGTCACATGATCATCTGAGCGAGCTCCACACTTGCGGAGATGATTGACAGGTGCTGATGTCGGAGTGGGGGCAGAGGTCAGGGCGGGTCAGAGGCCAGCAAGATTTGATTCAACTTAGCCTACAGCACTTTTCCAAACATGGTCGTAGAAGAAGAGGAGAGGTGCATACTGTGAGATAGGATAAGTTTAAAATTTCAGAACCAAAGACTAAGACCATTTCCATTTTCTGAAATCTATACTAATTTCTGTAGTTTTGTTACAATTAAAGAATAGAAAAGTACCTTTACACCATGACAAATTTAGAAATCTCTGCTTTGTATTCCAGTTCTGAATCCTTATCAAAACCAGCTGAGCTGCATCATAAGACAGTTATTGTACACTGGCAGTTATTTGTAGAGCAAATAAACGAGATAGGAGAAAGGGCACATCCCTGTGGAGCACCAGTGGCTGAAGAGCAAGTGCCCTTTACAGTAACAAGCTGGGCCTGGAATTGGGATGGTGATCAAATGTGGCATGATTGCAGTATCCAGTACTTCCGCCCGGTAACGAGATCCAACTCATTGACACAAAACACCACACCAGCAGTGTGGACTTAACAGTCACAACATAACAGTCATTGGTCTTCCTCGGTCTTCTAGGTCTGCGATGATCTTTTACCTCACTGATGGCCACACACAACACCACACCAGCAGTGTGGACTTAACAGTCAGAACATAACAGTCATTGGTCTTCCTCGGTCTTCTAGGTCTGCGATGATCTTTTACCTCACTGATGGCCACACACAACACCACACCAGCAGTGTGGACTTAACAGTCACAACATAACAGTCATTGGTCTTCCTCGGTCTTCTAGGTCTGCCATGATCTTTTACCTCAGTGATGACCACACACTTCCTCACAGGAAACTAAATTGAACATTTATACCCTAATGTGCTTGGTGCCTTTACAACACATGAACATGTCAGCTATTGAGGCATTGTGTGAAGTGCATCTTTAACATGTGCATTCAAGACAATGTTACTAGCCAGGCTGGCTATTCTCGAAACGTTCGTAGCCCTACTTCTTAAGCCCATTCTCAACTCATTGGCTACGATCAAAGTTAAGAATTCTTAGGGCTACGAACATTTCGAGAATAAGGGCCCAGAACTACAATCCTGAAACACCTACCAGATTCTAGACTGTCATCGGTACTATTCTTCTCACCAGCTGTATATGCTTCTTCAATTTCAGTCCCAGTTCTGGTGAAACAAAGCAATGTGTTAAAAATCTGTCAATAATCAACAAATGAACCACACAATCCACACAATCAGCTTGAGCATCAACCTATGCAACTGGGATATGATAACGTGTCAACCAAGTCAATGTGCCTGACCACCCGATCCTGTTAGTCGCATTGTTATAAATGAAACTTTGTCATTAAAACTACTCATTTTGATCTTTAATTAACTTAAATTGACCTTTTTGACAACAGTGCACAATTCTCACCCGCGCATGAAATTTCAACTAATCAGAGCGATGCGTCTCTGTGACATCATGTGAGGAATAAATATGAGGGCTGATGCAGAATTCATGTACATTTCAGGGGGTAAATTATCTTGTTTACAGGTTTGTATAAACCTGAAATCGTGACAACTGTTGTAAAAAAAAATGAAAGCTATATGTTCTCACAATCTACTGTCATTTATTTTTGTCTCCTACTTTGCCTAGTTTCCGAGTTACAACTTGTTTTCATAGACGATTCTGTAACCTGATTAGGTGGTATAAACCTACACATGTTATTTGTCATCATTCACTTGATGGTCAGTTAATGAATTTTAACAGGAATAATTAGCGGTAACACTACTTAGATTACCCGACAAAGGTTCCCATTTGACATTTCTTGTGTCAGGAGTAAATACTCAAAATTATAAACATCGATCAAAGGATCAAAGGATTAACCGATAGCACGCTGATTGATTAATTACTTTTATCTTACACAGCGGATTTGTCAAGAGGTGGTGTTTTTGTATGTAGATTTACTAATCTATACTGAATACACTCTGTCGTGTCTGTGTCTGCGAAAAAACAACGTCCTTCTTTCAAAGGATTGACCGCCAATACATTGATTGATTGCTCATTGTTGGCTAACTAAATTACTTTTTTTTAAAGAATGGCGGACATTATGCATTTAGTTGCCAGGTGTGCTATCTTGGGTGACCAATGAGACTATACACCAATGTGAAATACCTGAAACGATATGTCACTTTTTCATATATTAGAATGTTAAAAGACACATCTCGTTTTTGTGGATATTGATGGATACATTCCCCGAGCAAGGTAATAGCCTGACATTGTTCCTATAACTTTAATCTGTCTTAATTTTGATATTTGCATTTTGTTCTTATTCATTTGTGGTAGCATTCAACAGAATCATTGTTTTCGCCGTGAATACACTATAGGGCGTGTGTGCGGATTATGATTCACATTGGCAAACTATAAAATGTCTAGATATTACTGTCCTGTTATAAGTATCAGCAGATTGTCTCCTCTTTATTTAGTTTCAAAATGCACACAAGTATGATAATAAACTAATTAGGATTATAAGACCAAATATAAAGACGTACATTGACTAGTATCTGCATACTGGTGAATAGACGTTAACCACGTGAATGTAGCAAGAAAGTTATCGCGCAGTATTGTGACTTTGAACCCCTTCTTGCTTCCGTGGAAGAAATCATTACGTTATAAGTTGTGTCATGCAAAATCCTTTTGGTCATGATTCAAATACATATTTAACTACGAGTAGAAAGTAGTTCTGATTTTCTAACTTGATGAAAACAAACCATAATCTCATTAATACTAACAGACTTTAGCCCGTGACTTCACGTATTTAAAAAATTGCGGCGCCCTGTCGCGAACATCGGCCAGTGTGAGGATAAATGCTGTTTAGGTTTGTTTTCACCGAGTTACAAAATCCAAACTACTTTCTACTGGTAGTAAAATATGTATTTGATTGATGGCCAATAGCATTTTGCATGACATAGGATATAACATAACATTTCTCTCGTGGAATCGAGGTGGGTGTCAATATAATACTACTTACAGTATTATTGTTACTTCGACCACCTCGCTTCCGAGAAAGAAATCGTTATGTTACAAGTTGTGTCATGGACAATCTTTATGTCATAAATCATATACATATTTCACTACAACTAGTAAGTAGTTTTGATTCTTTAACTTCCGTGAAGCGATCTGAACACAAGTAAGATATCGTTTCAGGCTTCCACAACGCTCGCTTCGCACTCACAAACATAACCCATTTAGCACGAACTGCGGGGTCCTGTGGAAATCTGTGCATGGTGACACCATCACCCGACCCCTAGGAGCAATTGATGACAACACAACGATTCGGCATGTCTTCGTTGATGTCGAGAAAGCATCAAAATGACGAGCTTGCTACACACTTTCTATACAACTAACTGAAAATCGTTCCTCATATGACGTCACTGCAGTGCTCTGGCGACAGAGTTACGTAACCTGTCTGTGGTTTCGTTTGCGGGCGAGAGTGAAGCAGGCTACTTTTTGGCAACTTTTAATCGCTCGGTATTAATTAATCACAAGTTTTTTAAGAATTAATTTGGTGTTCCACATAAGACTAACCACAAATCTTTCATATGTAATAGTTAAAAGAGATCGTAAAAAATAGTTAAAAAAACAAAGTTTACTTGTTCTTTAAAGAATGGGGGAGATTATGCAATTAGTTGCCAGTGCCCTTATTCTCGAAACGTTCGTAGCCCTAAGAATTCTTAAGTTTGATCGTAGCCAACGTTTTAAGAATGGGAATAAGAAGTCCGTAGGGCTACGAACGTTTCGAGAATAGCTAGCCAGGTGTGCTATCTTGGGTGACCAATGAGACTATACACCAATGTGAAAATAATACAGATATTAATACAGGACACAGAGGGCACAAACTTGATGTGAACCAACCATCATAGGTTCCTGGTACATCAAGGGGAAGCAACCCTCCACAGGGATTGTGATGTCCCTATAGCAGTACGAAGGGTAAATCAACCTACAAATAAGATGTCCGCAAACTGTCTTGGGCTCCGTCATCCCATTCATCATCCAAGCTCTCACTAGAATCATAATCATCAAAGGCTGAGAAATCAGCTCCTTTGAAAGCCATCAGCTTTTCTGTAAACACAAGAACACATCTCATTGTCAAACTACACATCTTGTTTTACATCTACTCCTGGATATTGTCCTACAGTGTTAAAGGGGGTTCTGCTTTTCACTGTCAACATCTACTCATATTCATTATCTTTCTTCTAGAACTCAGCCTTGTGTCAAACTGATATGCATTGACATATATTTAATACATAGACAAAACAGTAGGACTGACATTTTGACAAAGCTCAGTCACCTTTAACAACTTCTACTATTTTGTTTAAGACAGATCAATCAAAAACACTTACGAAATACAGAAACACATATGTCATAACAAAATGTCCATCACTTGAAAAAATACTCTTTGCCATAAAAATGTAAAATATCATTACCCTGCATCGACGGGGGCGAGGTTGCCTGGAAAGAATAACATCAATTATAAAAACATGTAATTTTCTGAATAAAATTGATATTTTATACTTATCCTGACTCATGAGGTAAGCAAAAGAGCATGAGTCAGGATAAGGAAAAATATACACTTTACACATAAACATTGCATCCTGAGACCAATCTTATTATGTTTTAATGTACATGCTAACATAAGGTATATTTCCACGCACAAGTTGACAAACTGTTGGTCATTACACTGGCAACAAACCAAGTACATTGGTATCTAGATTTATTGACGTAATATATCAATACAGAATGAAATGCAAGATGTCTATATATCTTCCTAGTCAAATAGATCAAGGGGGAGTATTAAGTTTGCTTTCTATTGTCTGCAACTACAGAGTTTTACTGAGGTATTCTTACAAATTCAGACTGAAGCTTGTCCAGCTCCATCCCTGTCCCTTGCTCCTCCATAATCTTCGCCTCGTCCAGGTCCAACATCATCGCTTGATACTCCTCTGGCTCGTCCATCAAGTAGTCCAGCTCCTCCATCAATGAGTCATGCTCTTCCGGCTCCATCATCAAATCCTCCAGCTCCTCCTCCGACCTGCTCATCTTCTCCTCGTCCTTGTCCCCCCTCCCATCCCATGTAGTCCAGGATGTCCATGCTGTGACCACTCACCAACTCAAATATGCTGGGGCCACCTGACTCCCGCAGGCCTTTCTTCTCATCCTAGCCGGGATACAAATATTACTCAGATCAAAACTTGAATATTTTCTCAGTGGACAGAGTCTACTAATATCATGTATGACAGTAACTAACTGGTTTGACGCCTCCTTCCAGAAAAGGAGCACAAAACATCAGAATCTGGGTACGAGACGGACAATTACATCAATGTCAACGTCAGGGCCACATACTCTGTAGCAGTCTGCTCCTCAGGAAGATGGCGCGCTACCACTCCACAACATGGCAGACTTCCTTGTTCCATTGACAGCGCATGTTAAACTGAAAGTCTGACTGAAAAACTAATCTGTTTCAAATACATTATTTAAAGTCGTATTCATAGCTTGAAAATTTCAGGTGAGAATATCTACTTAGAGCAGCAGACATTTTTCTTGCAACACTTTTGGTTCTGTATAAACCCCCAAATAATAAATCTGGACAGATCCTAAAGAGCACCTGATCAGCAGGCAGCGGATTCTTCCCTCAGACAAGACACGTACGGTTCCTAACTCATCTGATCACTCCAACTGACAGGCCCTGATGGTGGGGAAGAAATTCCTTACCTCATCTCTGGTTTCTATGGCAACAAAGCTGGTGAACTGAGTGACAATGGAATACTCCTTGCTCAAGTCAATCACATAGTTCTTCAGATTCAGTTTCAAAATCTACAACATACAGGTGCTTGTTGGTAGAATGTTAAACACATGTATCTACAGTGCCAAGTTTGGTGAACTGTATTTTCTAACGTTACAAACAAGTGTTGACTCCATATGTTAAAGGTACAACAAGCAGAACCTTTTAAATTCATTGTCTTCATTTTTTAATGAAACACTTTTCAAGAAGATAACCATCCTTAAATAACTTCAACAACATTATATATTTCTCCTACAGGGCTCACTTGCACAAAACGATCTTAGCACTACGATGATTGTAACTCCGTTTCTCCAACCTAGGCTTAAGATAGTTGTAGCGCTGGGATCACTTTGTGGGCTAGCCCTGATCCTACCAGAGGTACAAGTATGTTGGGAAAATATAACTGGTCTAGCTTTATACAGATTTGAAGTCACAGAGATGGGTTCAGAAATAAAGATTAACTCATTTCTTCAGTTTCGAGAAAAGAAGTGACAGTGCATCATGGGACTGACCTCGTGTTGTGTGCGATCTGCAGACAGCATACCATCCTCCCAGTCTCGTATAAGTGACCGCGCTGTCAGGCGGTGAACGATCTGTAATCAGGACATACAGGGGTCAGTTGATACCAGGTTAAGATGTTTTTCACTATTTGTACCTATTTAGTGATTTACCTGTGGGATTACAACAAATAGGTGCATCATGATGATTATATATGAGCCTACCACTGGGCCATACAAGGGAAGCATTTGATGTTAGGCCAGTAGGCCTGATTTTACTAGTTACACATGAAATAGGATCATAAAAAACGATAATATATGACAAGGAGATATCAATATGTTTGCATCGATATGTATTTACATTCAATACACAAACAATGAAGACATGTCTATCTGTGAGTCACAGGAGTGAACAACACACTCACTACTTCTCAGCATGAATGAAAACAACACTAAAATATCTTACCATTCCTGTTGTGATGCTAAGTTCAGACGTCGAGACTACTGTTGACACTTCCTGTCCCCCAACAACAGCTTTCAAGGTTGCCTACATCGAAACAGTCAGATACATCATCATCATCATCATCATCATCATCATCATCATCATCATCATCATCATCATCCTAAAGCGTTAACACATCTACTACCCATATATACCCACCATGGTGCAGTTAGGTACCAGTCCATATACAACTTGACGTGAGCCATTGAATAGAGCTGTGATCTGCCGCGGAGCTTGTGGCAATGTTGCTGCATCATTGTCAAATTGTTGCCACTCAACTGCCACCGAGGTCAGACCTGGTTGTGAGGCCTTACTCAGCTGAGACTTCACCTGTTGATGGAAGGCTTCAGTTTATTCATCAGGGAAAATAGGAACATTTCTACATGTATGGTTTTTGCAACATCAATAACTTTAATCCATTAAACAATGTATTATCCAATCAATGTACTGTTTTAACTTGGGTCCTGTTAGCAAGGGCTTTAGGAACCCGCCTCAAACATTATCTTCCCATGGGGAATCGAGCCACAGTGATCAGCCAGGGGTCAGATAAGCCACCCAAAAGTGTCGACATAAGCCACAGTGATGAGATACACCACCCCACAGTGGTGAGACAAGCCACCCCACAGTGGTAAGATAAGCCACCCCACAGTGGTGAGATAAGCCAAGCAATAGTGGTGAGATAAGCCAAGCAATAGTGGTGAGATACGCCACCCGCAGTGATGAGATAAGCCACCCACAGTGATGAGACAAGCCATCCCACAGTGGTGAGATAAGCCACCCCACAGTGGTGAGATAAGCCACCCCACAGTGGTGAGATAAGCCCCCCACAGTGGTGAGATAAGCCACCCCTCAGTGGTGAGATAAGGCCCCCCCACACACACACCCTGTGGTGAGACAAGCCACCCCACAGTGGTGAGATACCCCACCCAATAGTGGTGAGATAAGCCCCCAACAGAAGTGAGATAAGCCCCCAACAGTGGTGAGATAAGCCACCCCACAGTGATGAGATAAGCTACTCCACAGAAGTGAGATAAACCCCCACAGTGGTGAGATAAGCCACCCCACAGTGATGGGATAAGCCACCCCAGATTGGTGAGATAAGCAGCCCCACAGTCATGAAACAAGCCACCCCACAGCGGTGAGATACCCCACCCAATAGTGGTGAGATAAGCCCCCAACAGAAGTGAGATAAGCCAGCCTACAGTGATGAGATAAGCCACCCCACAGTGATGAGATAAGCTACTCCACAGAAGTGAGATAAGCCACCCCACAGTGGTGAGATAAGCCACCCCACAGTGGTGAGATAAGCCACCCCACAGTGATGGGATAAGCTACTCCACAGAAGTGAGATAAGCCACCCCACAGTGGTGAGATAAGCCACCCTACAGTGATGAGATAAGCCATCCTACAGTGGTGAGATAAGGCCCCCAAGCCCCCCCACACACACACACAGAGGTGAGACAAGCCACCCCACAGTGGTGAGATACCCCACCCAATAGTGGTGAGATAAGCCCCCAACGGAAAAGAGATAATTCCCCCACAGTGGTGAGATAAGCCACCCTACAGTGGTGAGATAAGCCATCATACTGTGGTGAGATAAGCCGTCCCACGGTAGTGAGATAAGCCACCCCACAGTGGTGAGATAAGCCACCCCACAGTGGTGAAATAAGCCACCCCACAGTGGTGAAATAAGCCACCCCACAGTGATGAGATAAGCCACCCCACAGAAGTGAGATAAGCCATCCCACAGTGGTGAGATAAGCCACCCCACAACACTGACAGTGTTTAAACACAGCAGATATAGTTGTACTTTCAGAATGTATATTCTTTACACAATGCTAACATCACTGTAAGATTCAATATTTTCAGCATGTATGTTCCAACAACTGACTGCATGAATATGACCTATTATCAATAATTAATGATGACAAACACAAGACGAACCTGTTGTTTTGCAGAGAATAATTTGGTAATGTACAAAGCATGTAGGCTATCAACTGTGAAGGTAGCATAGTTACAACAGAAACATGTGCCATAAAGCCATATACTTCAACATGGACAAGCCTTCACAACACATCACTGTTACAACATCCCACCACTAAAACAATAGGACTTCACAGTCAGCTGCACAATAGTGCCAAATCTCAAACATACTGTGAGCCCTAAGCTGTCTGTTGATTACAGTCACATGTTCTCACTACAGTGTACACACTAAATATGGTCATAAACACAATATTTTATAATATATAAATATGCTTCCAACAATGACTGAGATGGAATTTCTATTAAGGAGGTTAGATACAAAATATCAAAACGTCAAAAAATTGCTAAATTTGGTATCATTTTGTGGGAAAATGTGTCCCAAATCTAATAATGTAACTTGACTTGTAAAAAAATAGCAAGTCACCGCATTTGTTTGACAAGTGGCGCCCTCTTGTTGAACCATCTCTAAAATGTATTATGTCAATAAAAGTTCTCTGAAAAGTACATTGTTTACTTTTATTATTCAGTATGTGTTTTGTTATAAAGATATTTCAGTACTGATATGAAATAAAGCAGGACAATCAAATTTCAAGGCAGTATGTTTTTATTGACATACTAATATTAAAAAAAGTATTGATTCATCGATGAGAAAACGTTAAGGGCAGGTAACTCTTGCCCAGGTTTACCTCAGGACAAATGCTTGTGTGGCCAAAATATCATGAAGTATGATTAGAAGCAAGATAAAGGGAAATAACTGCGTAACATAACTACACGCTCCTACTGTCACATCCCGTCACATACGGTATGCCCACAAACCACGGCATTCAACCTCTTTAATACATGTATCAGCTTCACAGTGATGCAGGAGTGAAATCGGCAAAAATTCATTCACAGGTAGTTTTTGTAATTTGAAATATCTAACTGACCAATCAGAACAGAGAAATATCAGACTGACTTAACATGATATATGAGACCATTATGCCCCACTATATGGCCTGTCAACAGTCAGGCCCACACAAACCAGTGACTTATAGACAAAACATCCCACACCATTGAGGTACAGTGACACTTTACCACGTGTGACGTCACTTCTAACAACAAGAGGACCCATTCTTCACATAGGGCAGAGTGATGCTACCACAGCTTACCTTCCTCTCCCACTTGGACTTGGCTTTCCGGTCAAAGAATTCGAATGCTCCCCCTCCAACTCTTGCAATGGCTCGCAGGAGGTGCATGTTGGCAGTGGAACTACAGAAAAACACAGGAGTTCAGGAACTGGGATTCCCGGTAGAAAAGACTAACAATACAGCTGGTATGCATGTGTTATGACTAATGGCATCAAGTACTAGTTATTAAATGTTTTTATTGCAGGTATGCTATCTTATGTTTACATTTTGACTTCGCACATGAGTGGAGCTGCACGCGCAGCTCCCTGAAAATTACGGCACTCATGCATAACACCTCATGCATTACGTCATCAATCTAACAGTAATTCTTTACGCATCACTTCGCGTGAGCCGTTCACCGGGCATACTCGTACCGTTTTCTCTTTCGCTTTCCACCCTCCCGCCCTGCTTGCCTCCATCTATCAAATTTCATTGTCCATCTCGTGTTGTTGTACATTATAGGTACCGGACATGAACAATTGTACATATCTATTACCTCAACATACTGTATATATATTTTGATTATAGTTCCTGAATAAATCATGTCGTGGAGTGCGTGGTTCTTGTGGGTACCTTTCAACATAACTCATAAGAATATATATATGTTAATTAGGGTTTCCGGTTACCTGCTTTCCAGCGAGAACCTCGGCTGGGTTACCTTCTTACCAGTTGGAACCCAGTCTTTCCCAGGTTTTCACTCGGGGAATCTAGTAACAGTTAAGTTAAGTATCGGGGCCTGGCGGCGTTCGCTCCCATTGTTGACCCCCAGCGTTGGTCGGGTTGCGACGTTTCCATCATTTGGGCCTCAGCAATTTTGGCTGGTAACAATTATGTTGGCGACGCAAGTTGCCACATAGCTAAAATCTTTTAGGCTTATTATTAGCATTCTATTTCAAGATTGGGGTAGCCCACTAGAACCTTCACACCCTCGGCCATTAAATCCACAGTTGTGCCTCTGTTTTTCCTTCATTATAGTCCTCTTCTAAGGAAAGTGGGCTATTACTGCAATATCATGTGATAAATCAATATCATGTTGTGTGGTACTAGTGATACAACGCGGTCTGGGACTGGGTGCAGTGTATTACCCACCGAAGCTCTACATCAAACTTCTTCCATGTTTCGCTGCTGTTCATGTGACTGGGTCTCACTTTTTAAGTGCAATTGTTCTTAAATATGTCAATTCCATTGATCGGTTTCATTGGCATTTTAGAAGTTGGTGAGTAATAAGAAAGTAAGCTTCTTTATGGAAAACAACTTCTTTATTATATATGGTGCCACGTTTCAATATGGATTCTTATACCGTTGTCAAGCAAGAGTGAGGTAGTACAGCACAGGAGGGACTTACATACATCAACAGGGATCAAGTAATAACAACCTGTAGGTATGAATCAAGGGGATTTACAACAACAATGGATGTAGTGACAATAAGAGGAAGCCATATATAATCTTACTTTCTTGTCTATTCAGTTGTTTGAGAAAACCTAACTGACTGGATCCTGGAGAGTAAAAATCTCTTGAAGCTCCCAAGAAAACTATAAGCAAAGTGAATGATAACAAGTGATTAAACTCTCAGTGCCCTATACAACAACCTAGATCCGTGAACCAGTATACTGTTGTTTATCTCCTTGTTACTGATGAACTTACAGAAGTCGACTAATCTCCATACCTGACACCCAACGTGAAGACTCGAGTATGAGTAGCGTTGTTGAGGACAGCATTGAGAACACTGTCCTCGTTGTTGAAGTGTCCGTCACTGATGATGAAGATGTTGCGTGTTGCTGTTGTGGAGGCTAGCAGGTGGTAGGAGTGGAGGGGTTTAAACACCTCCGTGTTGCCCATGTCTGCACACGCCGTCTGCACAACAAGATGAGCTGCCAACTAATCTCTAACCCAGTGGAAGGAAGACTAACCACAACATTATCAATATTCAACCTCAGAGCTTCATCTTAGTCATCGGATAACAAAATATCATATAATCCTCCATTCCAGTGAATCTACACTGGTACAATCAGATCTCTAAGCCTCGAGTCAGTCTGTGAACTGGATATGAACAGTTCATGCTCTGATGGCCAAACATAAAATATTGCTAGGTGACGTTGATGCACAACAAGATTATTTAAAATTCTGACAGCTACACAAAGATACTAAAAACTTCTGGTCTTATGTTGTGGAGTACATCTGAGATCCTACACACACCTGGAGTAACACCTTTCCAGACTACTGAACTGATGAGGATATATGGACTTACATGGCACAGCAATAGAGCTAGCACTGGTGCATTGTGGGAAGTCAATAGAACGACATCAACTTATTTCATCCTGACACTACAGTAGTTTCACTCCTGGGCCTAGATTTCCGAAGGTCTCTTAGCGCTAAGATAGTTGTGCCATATATTAACATTAACTTACGACAATCTTAGCGCTAAGAGAGCTCTGAAAATCTAGGCCCTGCAATAACCAGCTGACAGTAGAGTCCACAATTACTGTAATGATTCTGACAGAAGTAGAAGTTCCCTCACTTCCCTGTAATATCCAGAAAGTGTCATGGTTTCAGATTCCTCCTACCTTGAGGAATGTCTCTACAGCCTGGATGGTAGTGTTTGTGTTCGACTGGCTGGTTGCGAACAGCTCCCTGTGGCCTGGCAACACACCAAACACCATGTACAGGAACATAACTTACTCAAATATTACTCCCAATTTATCATAGTTCACAAACTAGGGTGTCTTCCTTTATGTCATCATTCAGACCCATATTCGTCTATTCTACAAAATGAAGTCACCACATTATGCTTTCGCTGTTACAACGTTATTCTGATGGGCTCCCATTTACGTTAAGGTATTTGACACTAACGTATTTTACGTTGACTTAACGTTCTATTTATGTTAATAGTTGAATTGTTTTCCCAGTAGTAAGAAACAAAGCAGAAATTCACTTCAATGTTTATTTGGCAATTTGCCACAACGCTGTGTCATGACATCTACAACCTTCCCACAACGCTGTGTCATGACATCTACAACCTTCCCACAACGCTGTGTCATGACATCTACAACCTTCCCACAATGCTGTGTCATGACATCTACAACCTTCCCACAACGCTGTGTCATGACATTACCAATCTATAACCTTCCCACAACGTTGTGTCATGACATTACCAATCTACAACCTTCCCACAACGCTGTGTCATGACATAACCAACCTACAACCTTCCCACAACGCTGTGTCATGACATCTACAACCTTCCCACAACGCTGTGTCATGACATCTACAACCTTCCCACAACGCTGTCTCATGACATCTACAACCTTCCCACAACGCTGTGTCATGACATCTACAACCTTCCCACAACGCTGTGTCATGACATTACCAATCTATAACCTTCCCACAACGTTGTGTCATGACATTACCAATCTACAACCTTCCCACAACGCTGTGTCATGACATTACCAACCTACAACCTTCCCACAACGCTGTGTCATGACATCTACAACCTTCCCACAACGCTGTGTCATGACATTACCAACCTACAACCTTCCCACAACGCTGTGTCATGACATTACCAATCTATAACCTTCCCACAACGCTGTGTCATGACATCTATAACCTTCCCACAACGCTGTGTCATGACATTACCAATCTACAACCTTCCCACAACGCTGTGTCATGACATTACCAATCTACAACCTTCCCACAGCGTTGTGTCATGATGTTACCAATCTACAACCTTCCCACAATGCTGTGTCATGACATTACCAACCTACAACCTTCCCACAACGCTGTGTCATGACATCTACAACCTTCCCACAACGCTGTGTCATGACATTACCAATCTACAACCTTCCCACAACGCCTGTGTCATGACATTACCAATCTACAACCTTCCCACAACGCTGTCATGACATTACCAATCTACAACCTTCCCACAACGCTGTGTCATGATGTTACCAATCTACAACCTTCCCACAACCTTGTGTCATGACGTTACCAATCTACAACATCCCCACAACATTGTGTCATGACGTTACCAATCCACAACATCCCCACAACGCTGTGTCATGACATTACCAATCTACAACCTTCCCACAACCTTTTCTCATGACGTTACCAATCTATAACCTTCCCACAACGCTGTGTCATGACATTACCAATCTATAACCTTCCCACAACCTTTGTCATGACGTTACCAATCTACAACCTTCCCACAACGCTGTGTCATGACATTACCAATCTACAACCTTCCCACAACCTTTTCTCATGACGTAACCAATCTATAACCTTCCCACAACGCTGTGTCATGACATTACCAATCTATAACCTTCCCACAACCTTTTCTCATGACGTTACCAATCTACAACCTTCCCTCAACGCTGTGTCATGACATTACCAATCTACAACCTTCCCACAACCTTTTCTCATGACGTTACCAATCTATAACCTTTTCACAACCTTTTCTCATGACATTACCAATCTATAACCTTCCCACAACGTTGTGTCATGACATTACCAATCTACAACCTTCCCACAACGCTGTGTCATGATGTTACTTATCTACAACATCCCCACAACATTGTGTCATGACGTTACCAATCTACAAAATCCCCACAACATTGTGTCATGACATTACCAATCTGCAACCTTCCCACAACATTGTGTCATGACGTTACCAATCTATAACCTTTTCACAACCTTTTCTCATGACATTACCAATCTATAACCTTCCCACAACGTTGTTTCATGACGTTACCAATCTACAACCTTCCCACAACGTTGTCATGATGTTACTAATCTACAACATCCCCACAACATTGTGTCATGACGTTACCAATCTATAACCTGCCCACAATGTTGTGTCATGACATTACAAATCTACAACCTTCCCACAACATTGTGTCATGACGTTACCAATCTAAAACCTTCCCACAACATTGTGTCATGATGTTACCAATCTACAACCTTCCCACAACATTGTGTCATGACATTACCAATCTACAACCTTCCCACAACGTTGTGTCATGACGTTACCAATCTACAACCTTCCCACAATGCTGTGTCATGATGTTACCAATCTACAACCTTCCCACAACGTTGTGTCATGACGTTACCAATCTACAATCTTCCCACAACACTGTGTCATGATATTACCAATCTACAACCTTCCCACAACGCTGTGTCATCATGTTACCAATCTACAACCTTCCCACAACCTTGTGTCATGACGTTACTAATCTACAACCTTCCCACAAAATTGCTGTCATGACGTTACCAATCTACAACCTTCCCACAACGTTGTCATGACGTTTCCAATCTACAACCTTCCCACAACCTTGTGTCATGACATTACCAATCGACAACCTTCCCACAATGTTGTCATGATGTTACCAATCTACAACCTTCCCACAACATTGTACCATGACATTACCAATCTACAACCTTCCCACAGCGTTGTGTCATGACGTTACCAATCTACAACCTTCCCACAACGTTGTGTCATGATGTTACTAACCTACAACTTTCCCACAACATTGTGTCATGACATTACCAATCTACAACCTTCCCACAACGCTGTGTCATGATGTTACCAATCTACAACCTTCCCACAACCTTGTGTCATGACGTTACCAATCCACAACATCCCCCCATCATCTAAGTATTATGTCATTGAATAAGTTTACTAATTATTTCCTTTATATGTCTTATCATTCCCCATCAACAATTCATTGTCAAATCACATACTTAGGACCACACTCTGTGGATGACACTGACCTGTTCCGAAGCAGAGGACGTTGAAGGTAGAGCGCGGTGGCAAGTTGTGCAGCAACATCATCAACAGCTTCTTGGCATCCAGCACTGCATCACCAGACATGGAATTGGAGAGGTCAAGGACGAACACAATTTCCACATCATCGTCCTCGTCAGCCTCAAACTCAGGGTAAAATGTCAACATGCAGGCCTAGAATATAGAATGAAGAACAAAGAATGATTGTGGAGGGAATACCCAACATGAACCTGGCACACCATGATGTTACTCAAACAACAACAACGATCCAAACACACATATAACATGTCGCATGCGGCATCCCCTGCCTGATGCATGTCTCTCTCTGTGGATGTCTCTCTACCCACAAACTAGACCATCATTCCTCTGCCTGCCTACCTGATGCATGTCTCTCTCTCTGGATGTCTCTCCACCCACAAACTAGACCATCATTCCTCTGCCTGCCTACCTGATACATGTCTCTCTCTGGATGTCTCTCCACCCACAAACTAGACCATCATTCCTCTGCCTGCCTACCTGATGCATGTCTCTCTCTCTCTGGATGTCTCTCTACCCACAAACTAGACCATCATTCCTCTGCCTGCCTACCTGATACATGTCTTTCTCTGGATGTCTCTCCACCCACAAACTAGACCATCATTCCTCTGCCTGCCTACCTGATGCATGTCTCTCTCTGGATGTCTCTCCACCCACAAACTAGACCATCATTCCTCTGCCTGCCTACCTGATGCATGTCTCTCTCTGGATGTCTCTCCACCCACAAACTAGACCATCATTCCTCTGCCTGCCTACCTGATGCATGTCTCTCTCTGGATGTCTCTCTACCCACAAACTAGACCATCATTCCTCTGCCTGCCTACCTGATACATGTCTCTCTCTCTCTGGATGTCTCTCCACCCACAAACTAGACCATCATTCCTCTGCCTGCCTACCTGATGCATGTCTTTCTCTGGATGTCTCTCCACCCACAAACCAGACCATCATTTCTCTGCCAGCCTACCTGATACATGTCTTTCTCTGGATGTCTCTCTACCCACAAACTAGACCATCATTCCTCTGCCTGCCTACCTGATACATGTCTCTCTCTGGATGTCTCTCCACCCACAAACTAGACCATCATTCCTCTGCCTGCCTACCTGATACATGTCTCTCTCTGGATGTCTCTCCACCCACAAACTAGACCATCATTCCTCTGCCTGCCTACCTGATGCATGTCTCTCTCTCTCTGGATGTCTCTCTACCCACAAACTAGACCATCATTCCTCTGCCTGCCTACCTGATGCATGTCTCTCTCTGGATGTCTCTCCACCCACAAACTAGACCATCATTCCTCTGATGCCTGGATGTCCTCTACCCACAAACAAGACCATCATTCCTCTGCCAGCCTATGATCATGTCTCTCTGGATGTCTCTCCACCCACAAACTAGACCATCATTCCTCTGCCTGCCTACCTGATGCATGTCTCTGGATGCATGACCATCTCTCTGCCTGCCTACCTGATGTGTCTCTCCTGGATGTCTCTCCACCCACAAACTAGACCATCATTCCTCTGCCTGCCTACCTGATGCATGTCTCTCTCTGGATGTCTCTCTACCCACAAACTAGACCATCATTCCTCTGCCTGCCTACCTGATACATGTCTCTCTCTCTCTCTGGTCTCTCTCCACCAACAAACTAGACCATCATTCCTCTGCCTGCCTACCTGATGCATGTCTTTCTCTGGATGTCTCTCCACCCACAAACTAGACCATCATTCCTCTGCCTGCCTACCTGATGCATGTCTCTTTCTGTCTGGATGTCTCTCCACCCACAAACTAGACCATCATTCCTCTGCCTGCCTGCCTGATGCATGTCTCTCTCTCTCTGGATGTCTCTCTACCCACAAACTAGACCATCATTCCTCTGCCTGCCTACCTGATGCATGTCTCTCTCTCTCTGGATGTCTCTCCACCCACAAACTAGACCATCATTCCTCTGCCTGCCTACCTGATGCATGTCTCTCTCTGGATGTCTCTCCACCCACAAACCAGACCATCATTCCTCTGCCAGCCTACCTGATGCATGTCTCTTTCTGTCTGGATGTCTCTCCACCCACAAACTAGACCATCATTCCTCTGCCTGCCTGCCTGATGCATGTCTCTCTCTCTCTGGATGTCTCTCTACCCACAAACTAGACCATCATTCCTCTGCCAGCCTACCTGATGCATGTCTCTCTCTCTGGATGTCTCTCTACCCACATCCGTGGCACGTGTATCTCAGCCAGCCCAATCAGGAGCTGGAAGCCATCTTGTATTGACTGTCCATGACACATCTGCACTACAGCCTTGGCAGCAGTTCTCTGGAAGAACATGAGTAGACAATGTAGACCAGCAGCAACAGGACAGTACAACATGGCAGCACTACATGACAACACAATATTTGAAATCACAAAAAAACTGAAAATGCTTGAGTGCTTCTCACCTTGATTCGGACTTTGTGTGAAGGACACTGTATTGAGCGAATGTCAAATGGCATCTCCACGGCAACCTGCACAGTGGTGTCCCCTGATTGAACCTTGTGTGTTTCCAGCTCAGTCTGTAACCATTAGCAACAACTGACAAAACTTCAAACTAGCAACACAAGAAATTATATATATAAGAACATCTATATAAAACAAAACTTATAATTTCTTAGACATCATTTGAAAAATCAAATGTAAAGAAAATTCCATAGTTTCACTACAATTGCAATTATTTCACAAGCACATAGTTTTAGTGTCAGAATAGTTCAGATCAATAAATACCTGAGTGATTTCATCAGCTGCAGAGTCTTGCTTCCATGGTGCCACACTGCCTGGTAACCGGAAACTTATAAGTTCTGCTTCAACCTGTAGTTCAGCTACGTAAGTAATCTTGATGAGGACAGATGCATGGGGTGGGAGGTTGCCAACACTCACTGTGAACACATCCTGAAACATTAAACATGCTGAAACATTAAACATCCTGAAACATTAAACATGCTCACAGAAACTGGTTCTTAGTGATGACAGCAATATCAATATGCCTGGTTCTGACTTTTCCCTGACCCGTGGGAGCCCTGTTGTTCTCTTTCAATCAAGACGTTATTCTCTACTGTATCAGACAAGATCCACAATCTTCCCTGACAACATCCCTGTCAGACCTTACCTCTAACTTACTGTATCAGACAAGATCCACAATCTTCCCTGACAACATCCCTGTCAGACCTTCACCTCTAACTTGCTGTATCAGACAAGAGCCACTATCTTCCCTGACAACATCCCTGTCAGACCTTCACCTCTAACTTACTGTATCAGACAAGATCCACAATCTTCCCTGACAACATCCCTGTCAGACCTTCACCTCTAACTTACTGTATCAGACAAGATCCACAATCTTCCCTGACAACATCCCTGTCAGACCTTCACCTCTAACTTACTGTATCAGACAAGATCCACAATCTTCCCTGACAACATCCCTGTCAGACCTTCACCTCTAACTTGCTGTATCAGACAAGAGCCACTATCTTCCCTGACAACATCCCTGTCAGACCTTCACCTCTAACTTACTGTATCAGACAAGATCCACAATCTTCCCTGACAACATCCCTGTCAGACCTTCACCTCTAACTTACTGCAATCCTAAAATTCTGTCCATCAGAATGGATAAATGACCTTCTCTTACAACACACCCCATAACCTTCACTGATGACCGAACTTACCATTCTCTCTTCATCTCTGTCCATGAGATAAGCTCCATGACCTTCACTGTTGACCTTCAGCCAAACTTACCAGTGTCTCTTCATCTCTGTCCATGAGATAAGCTCCATGACCTTCACTGTTGACCTTCAGCCAAACTTACCAATGTCTCTTCATCTCTGTCCATGAGATAAGCTCCATGACCTTCACTGTTGACCTTCAGCCAAACTTACCAGTGTCTCTTCTTCATCTCATTCTCTTCCCACAGAGGTTACTCCTGTCATATCTTCCTCACGTAACCTCTGTTCTAATCTGACCATATTTCCCGTTCTCTTAAAATCCCTAGCGCAAAAGATCGCAAAAATGCAATTATCTCCCTTCTTTCTATCCAATCAGAACAGGTGTTACATCGACTTAGATTCAACTTGACTAACACAAGCAAATGTGAAGCCACAAATATCCCCCATCTGCCGGGGACTTGTGTTGATGTTACACACAAGACGCTTTAATGGCTAGCTTGTCCGTTGTCAACGAGGGCGATGGAGACGCCACTGATCCGGGCCATAACATGACTGAGTTCTGTCTAGAGGAAACGCTATGCGCATCGCGCGCAGGGGAAGAGGTTTAGTTTTCTCGAGTATACGGAAATTACCGAGGCCTTGCAAATGATCACTTTTGAAACAACGCCGCTGATTGCACAACTAAATCTGATTGTCTCCAATCACGAAGTCTTGAACGCTTCACACCATGAAAGGGCCATTATTAGAACAGAGGTTACGTGGGAAGATATGACAGGAGTAACCTCTGTGGGAAGAGAATGCTTCATCTCTGTCCATCAGATAAGCTCCATGAGCATCACTACTGACCTTCAGCCAAACTTACCGGTGTCTCTTCATCTCTGTCCATCAGATAAGCTCCATGACCTTCACTGTTGACCTTCAGCCAAACTTACCAGTGTCTCTTAATCTGTCCATGAGATAAGCTCCATGACCTTCACTGTTGACCTTCAGCCAAACTTACCAGTGTCTCTTCATCTCTGTCCATCAGATAAGCTCCATGACCTTCACTGTTGACCTTGAGCCAAACTTACAGGTGTGTCTCTTCATCTTCTGTCCATCAGATAAGCTCCATGACCTTCACTGTTGACCTTCAGCCAAACTTACCGGTGTCTCTTCATCTCTGTCCATCAGATAAGCTCCATGACCTTCACTGTTGACCTTCAGCCAAACTTACCGGTGTCTCTTCATCTCTGTCCATCAGATAAGCTCCATGACCTTCACTGTTGACCTTCAGCCAAACTTACCAGTGTCTCTTCATCTCTGTCCATGAGATAAGCTCCATGACCTTCACTGTTGACCTTCAGCCAAACTTACCAGTGTCTCTTCATCTCTGTCCATGAGATAATGTCCACGACCTTCACTGTTGACCTTCAGCCAAACTTACCAGTGTCTCTTCATCATTCTCTTCCCACAGAGGTTACTCCTGTCATATCTTCCTACACGTAACCTCTGTTCTAATACGGCCATATTTCCCGGTTCTCTTAAAATCCCTAAGCGGCAAAGATCGCAAAATGAATTATCTCCCTTCTTTCTATCCAATCAGAACAGGTGTTACATCGACTTAGATTCAACTTGACTAACACAAGCAAATGTGAAGCCACAAATATCCCCATCTGCGGGGACTTGTGTTGATGTTACACACAAGGCGTTTAATGGCTAGCTTGTCCGTTGTCAGCGAGGCGATGGAGATCCACTGATCCGCCATAACATGACTGAGTTCTGTCTAGAGGAAGCGTTTAGCGCATCGGCGCGGGAAGAAGGTTTAGTTTTCTCGAAGTATCACGGAAATTACCGAGGGCCTTGCGAATGATCACTTTTGAAACAAGCGTTGCTGATTGCACAACTAAATCTGATTGTCTCCAATCCGAGGAGTCTTGAAGCAGCTCACACCATGAAAGGGCATTATTAGAACAGAGGTTACATGTGGGAAGATATGACAGGAGTAACCTCTGTGGGAAAAGAATGGTGTCTTCATCTCTGTCAATCAGATAAGCTCCATGACCTTCACTGTTGACCTTCAGCCAAACTTACCGGTGTCTCTTCATCTCTGTCCATCAGATAAGCTCCATGACCTTCACTGACAGCCTTCTTGTACTCCTTGTGAGCCTGCTCCTTCTCTTTGACCTCGCCTATGATGTGCTTGTCATTGATAAATGCTTCGAACCCACACACAGCAGCCATGTCGTCCAGAGGAAACACATATTTGGCCTCCACAGCAGTGTCACTGGTGTTGTAGTACTCCTGGAGAACTATCACCTGCAGATGTGTTGCACGGTACATCAGTCAGGGTCAGTCATTTACAAATATCTTACTGCACCTTGGAATAAGGTTAGAGAAGTTTTTCTCATGTTTGAGAAATGCCACAATAACAAACACAATTGTCAACATTTTAAGTCATTATTTAGTTTGACACTAACATTGTTCCAGTTTCTGATCTCCAGTTAATTCACCTGAAGTGATAGGATTTAGTCTGGGTAGTATATGAGAAAAAGCAATTCTTCCTGAAACCTAAGAAAAATGTATACACATTATACAACATAATGTTGCAGATGACAATGTGCTAACATGTAATATTCATGCTGTCTTCTGGTTTATGAAGGAAATATCAACTGGCCACTGGAACAAGCTCTACATTCATGCAGTGTCAAGCAGCACACTGTAGGTGTCACCAGTAAGGGATGGTCAGCAGTACGTGACTTATTGACTTATTGACTTCTTGCAAATAATCAATGAATCCCACCTGAGCAGCCAGGTCCACCAGTTTGGAGCGGATGTGAACTCCTTGCAGCTCCACAGCCATCTTGTTGCCCTCGGAAACCAGACCAGCCTCCACCTTAGACAGAGGGTCCTCAATGCCCAGCACGTCCGACAAGTCTGCCGTAGGGGGAGGAATATAGTGAACACACTTAATACAGGGAATATAGTGAACACACTTAATACAGGGAATATAGTGAACACACTAAATACAGGGAATATAGTGAATATTGCACAAGAATGACGAATGACAAGGACAGGAGTGAACAGGAATGGATGGATGGACAGATGGAGAGACGGTTATATAGTTGTAGGCCAAAACACTTGTGTGTTCACTGGTGTTTGGCACAACTGAAACGTGGACGCTACATACCCAAGTTGTCCTGCAACATGTCAGCCAGTGCCGTCTGCTCCAAGTCTTGCTGGATGTCTGCTAGAATTACATCCCGAACTTGGTCCCCCTGCAGGCTAAACTCCACCAGGTATCTCAGACGCTGCTGCTTGACGCAGTACACAGCATACTCATCAGCCTGGAAGTAAAAACATCATCACACATCAGCCTGGCACAGTAACATACTCAAACATTAGCCTAGCAGTCAAACAGTCAAACATCAGCCTGACACTCAAACATCAGCCTGACAGTCAAACATACACAAACATCAGCCTGGCAGTCAAACATACTCAAACATCAGCCTGGCAGTCAAACATCTCAAAAATCAGCCTGGCAGTCAAACAGTCAAACATCAGCCTGTCAAACATACTAAAACGTCAGCCTAGCAGTCTAACATACTCAAACATCAGCCTGGCTGTCAAACATACTAAAGCATCAGCCTGGCAGTTAGACATACTCAAACATCAGCCTGGCTGTCAAACATACTCAAACATCAGCCTGGCAGTCAAACATACTAAAGCATCAGCCTGGCAGTCAGACATACTCAAACATCAGCCTGGCAGTCAGACATACTCAAACATCAGCCTGGCAGTCAAACATACTCAAACATCAGCCTGGCAGTCAAACATACTCAAACATCAGCCTGGCTGTCAAACATACTAAAACATCAGCCTGGCAGTCAGACATACTCAAACATCAGCCTGGCTGTCAAACATACTCAAACATCAGCCTGGCAGTCAAACATACTAAAGCATCAGCCTGGCAGTCAGACATACTCAAACATCAGCCTGGCAGTCAGACATACTCAAACATCAGCCTGGCTGTCAAACATACTCAAACATCAGCCTGGCAGTCAGACATACTCAAACATCAGCCTGGCAGTCAGACATACTCAAACATCAGCCTGGCAGTCAGACATACTCAAACATCAGCCTGGCTGTCAAACATACTAAACAATTAGCCTGGCAGTCAAACATACTCAAACATCAGCCTGGCAGTCAAACATACTCAAACATCAGCCTGGCAGTCAGACATACTCAAACATCAGCCTGGCAGTCAGACATACTCAAACATCAGCCTTGCAATCAAAACATACTCAAACATCAGCCTGGCAGTCAAAGCATCCTACCATGAAGTCTGATGGTGTGTTGGGAGAGTTCTTGACACCATGTACACTGTGATAGCCCTCTGGGGGGCACTTGAGGGTCCTGTCATGGTTAAACAGATCCTTACACTGGCCAAGAGCAACATCAGCCACCAGCATCAGCCGTGTGCCCTTTGTCTTGCTCTCACGGGAGTACTGGGCACTGGTGCTGCAACAGAGCCAGGTGAGCTAAATACCATGTCATTAACATTTCGGTGACTAATAAATCATAACATTATGTTGGGCACTTTTCACAGGTGAGACTACTTAATAACATTATGTTGGGCACTTTTCACAGGTGAGACTACTTAATAACATTATGTTGGGCACTTTTCACAGGTGAGACTACTTAATAACATTATGTTGGGCACTTTTCACCAGGTGAGACTACTTGACTTGTAACATTTGTTGGGCACTTTTCACAGGTGAGACTACTTAATAACATTATGTTGGGCACTTTTCACCAGGTGAGACTACTTAATAACATTATGTTGGGCACTTTTCACCAGGTGAGACTACTTGATAACATTGTTTTGGGCACTTTTCACCAGGTGAGACTACTTGATAACATTGTTTGGGCACTTTTCACCAGGTGAGACTACTTGATAACATTGTTTGGGCACTCTTCACCAGGTGAGACTACTTGATGACATTGTTTTGGGCACTTTTTACCAGGTGAGACTACTTAATAACATTGTTTTGGGCACTTTTCATCAGGTGAGACCTACTTGATAACATTGTTTTGGGCACTCTTCACCAGGTGAGACTACTTAATAACATTGTCTTGGGCACTTGCACAGGTGAGACTACTTAATAACATTGTCTTGGGCACTTGCATCAGGTGAGACTACTTGATAACATTGTTTTGGGCACTTTTCACCAGGTGAGACTACTTGATAACATTGTTTTGGGCACTTTTCACCAGGTGAGACTACTTGATAACATTGTTTTGGGCACTTTTCACCAGGTGAGACTACTTGATAACATTGTTTTGGGCACTCTTCACCAGGTGAGACTACTTGATAACATTGTTTTGGGCACTTTTCACCAGGTGAGACTACTTAATAACATTATGTTGGGCACTTTTCACCAGGTGAGACTACTTAATAACATTATGTTGGGCACTTTTCACCAGGTGAGACTACTTGATAACATTGTTTTGGGCACTTTTCACCAGGTGAGACTACTTGATAACATTGTCTTGGGCACTTTTCACCAGGTGAGACTACTTGATAACATTGTTTTGGGCACTTTTCACCAGGTGAGACTACTTGATAACATTATCTTGGGCACTTTTCACCAGGTGAGACTACTTAATAACATTGTCTTGGGCACTTTTCACCAGGTGAGACTACTTGATAACATTGTTTTGGGCACTTTTCACCAGGTGAGACTACTTGATAACATTGTTTTGGGCACTTTTCACCAGGTGAGACTACTTAATAACATTATCTTGGGCACTTTTCACCAGGTGAGACTACTTGATAACATTGTCTTTGGCACACTCTTCACCAGGTGAGACTACTTGATAACATTGTTTTGGGCACTTTTCACCAGGTGAGACTACTTGATAACATTGTTTTGGGCACTTTTCACCAGGTGAGACTACTTGATAACATTGTTTTGGGCACTTTTCACCAGGTGAGACTACTTGATAACATTGTTTTGGGCACCAGGTGAGACTTTGATAACATTGTGAGACTACTTGAGACTACTTGATAACATTGTTTTGGGCACTTTTCACCAGGTGAGACTACTTGATAACATTGTCTTGGGCACTCTTTCACCAGGTGAGACTACTTAATAACATTATGTTGGGCACTTTTCACCAGGTGAGACTACTTGAATAACATTGTCTTGGGCACTTTTCACCAGGTGAGACTACTTGATAACATTGTTTTGGGCACTTTTCACCAGGTGAGACTACTTGATAACATTGTTTTGGGCACTTTTCACCAGGTGAGACTACTTAATAACATTGTTTTGGGCACTTTTCACCAGGTGAGACTACTTGATAACATTGTTTTGGGCACTTTTCTGCACTACTTGATAACATTGTTTTGGGCACTTTTCACCAGGTGAGACTACTTGATAACATTGTCTTGGGCACTTTTCACCAGGTGAGACTACTTGATAACATTGTTTTGGGCACTTTTCACCAGGTGAGACTACTTGATAACATTGTTTTGGGCACTTGCACCAGGTGAGACTACTTGATAACATTGTTTTGGGCACTTTTCACCAGGTGAGACTACTTGATAACATTGTTTTGGGCACTCTTCACCAGGTGAGACTACTTGATAACATTGTTTTGGGCACTTTTCACCAGGTGAGACTACTTGATAACATTGTTTTGGGCACTCTTCACCAGGTGAGACTACTTAATAACATTGTCTTGGGCACTTGCATCAGGTGAGACTACTTGATAACATTGTTTTGGGCACTCTTCACCAGGTGAGACTACTTAATAACATTGTCTTGGGCACTTGCATCAGGTGAGACTACTTGATAACATTGTTTTGGGCACTCTTCACCAGGTGAGACTACTTAATAACATTGTTCTTGGGCACTTCATCAGGTGAGACTACTTGATAACATTGTTTTGGGCACTCTTCACCAGGTGAGACTACTTAATAACATTGTCTCGGGCACTTGCATCAGGTGAGACTACTTGATAACATTGTCTCGGGCACTCTTCACCAGGTGAGACTACTTGATATCATTGACTTGGGCACTCTTCACCAGGTGAGACTACTTAATAACATTGTCTTGGGCACCTTTCACCTGGGCACTCTAACATCACTTGCATCAGGTGAGACTACTTGATAACATTGTTTTGGACACTTGCATCAGGTGAGCCTACTTGATAACATTGTTTTGGGCACTTGCATCAGGTGAGACTACTTAATAACATTGTCTTGGGCACTTGCATCAGGTGAGCTAACTACATAACATTATCTTCTTCAGTGAGTACTCAATAATGACCACAATGAGCCCAAGCTAACCTGGCAGCACTGGCAAAGTAGAGTCCACCTCCCAGCATCCCTGCGTCTGACCTCTGACCCCCGTAGTTCTCCACTACAACTTTCGGCAACAACAGTCCTCTGAAAACAGGAACAAACAGACAGATGAGGTGAGGTGAAATTGGATTTAACGTCGTGCTTGAGAATATTTCGACGTGCATGCGCGTGTGTGTGTGTGTGTATGTGCGGCTGCTTGTACTAGCCCAGACCTAAGCTGGTTTTATAGTGCTAGCCCAGTGAAATACCATGCCGCAGTGAAGCATGGATACCCCACTCAGACACATTATACTGACTCCGAGCTGACCAGTCCTTGTTGTACCCATTAATGCCGAGCACCAGGCAGGGACCAACAAGTACCATATTTTAACGTCTTTTGGTATGACGCGGTCGGGGATCGACACAGACAGATGAACAAGTCATCAGGTAAATATAATTATCACAATAACAGCTAAAACTCTTTCAATATTTTTCACATGAATACCACAGTAATTTCAATTATTACCAAACAAAACCAACCGTGACAATATTCCGACAAAGTTTTCTGGCCTGGATGCATGGAACAGGAGTCGTTTGGGGTCAATATCATGACGGAAGTTGGTTTCTTCGATGGGTCGCTGCACCTCGTACACAGCTTTGATCTCCATCTTTAAATCGCTTACAAAACAAGGACATTTTGTTCAAGAGAACATCAGACAAAACGAATAACCAAATCACGATAGGTATCAGTCCTATAGTCTTTCTACCAATGCTTGCTGCTGATTCTGACTATTTTCTATGCATTCAAAGTGGAGGTTTCCCTCAGGAACTGTGGGCCAGATCTGTTCAAATACCGCCTTCATATTGCTGAGCTGACAAATAGCTTGTTACAGTGTCTGACAAGGCTGATCTAACATGCAGTGAAAACAGCTACCTCAGTGGCTGAATGTAGAGTTCCATCCAGGCACACTGCAGCACACACTTACAGAATGTTAAAAACATGCAATAAAGACTTGTGAAACTTACCCTTCGATGGACGATTCCACAAGGTCTCTCACCAACTTGTGTTGTGGGTCATGTGACTCGAGATGGCCAATATTGCATCGCAGGGCTCGGTATTTGGCCTCAGTGCTGCTTCTAGTTGACCAATTAGTGGCCTCGCTCACGGAGATCATATCCCGGATCAACTGGAACAGTCCATGATTAATGTGAGCACTCCCACGCAATGACCAACCAGTGTTATTGTTTGGGCATCAGTGCCAAGTATCTGTATGTCTACTGTATTACATAAATGTACCATCCAATACACAGAAGCTGAATGTCAATATATCCCAACTCAATGATCATAGCAATCACTGGAATGTGTGGTCCACACTTAATTACACACATACTGACATATAGCTGTAGTGTTGCAGAGTATTACACAAACAAAATACTGCATTAACACACATATTCCAGCTGTAAGAGAACTGACCCACCTGACACAGGTCAAGCTTAGTGGCCACCCACTGTTTGCTGACACCCTGGTCCGGACATCTGTGTGGTAGGGCTTCGTAGAAGTCACTCGTTAGGGAGTTGAGCTGGTCTGTCTTGTTGGCCATTAAACAGTCCTGGATCTGCATCAAGATGGCCTCCGCCTTCTCCAGCTGCAGCAAGGACAATAGGACTGAATACTTCCAGGACACATCAGTAGGCAACCTCTCACTCACTTCTCCCAAACACACCAGTAGGCAACCTCCTACACACTTCTCCCAAACACACCAGTAGGCAACATCCTATACACTTCTCCCAAATACATCAGTAGGCAACCTCTCACTCACTTCTCCCAAACACACCAGTAGGCAACCTCCTACATACTTCTCCCAAACACACCAGTAGGCAACCTCCTACACACTTCTCCCAAACACACCAGTAGGCAACCTCCTACACACTTCTCCCAAACACATCAGTAGGCAACATCCTACACACTTCTCCCAAACACATCAGTAGGCAACCTCCTACTAACTTCTCCCAAACACACCAATAGGCAACCTCCTACACACTTCTACCAAACAACACAGTAACCAGTAGGCAACCTCCTACATACTTCTCCCAAACACATCAGTAGGCAACCTCTCACTCACTTCTCCCAAACACACCAGTAGGCAACCTCCTACACACTTCTCCCAAATACACCAGTAGGCAACCTCCTACACACTTCTCCCAAACACACCAGTAGGCAACCTCCCACTCACTTCTCCCAAATACACCAGTAGGCAACCTCCTACTCACTTCTCCCAAACACACCAGTAGGCAACCTCCTACACACTTCTCCCAAACACACCAGTGGGCAACCTCCTACACACTTCTCCCAAATACACCAGTAGGCAACCTCCTACACACTTCTCCCAAACACACCAGTAGGCAACATCCTACACTTCTCCCCCAAACACACCAGTAGGCAACCTCCTACACACTTCTCCCAAACACACCAGTGGGCAACCTCCTACATACTTTCTCCCAAACACATCAGTAGGCAACCTCCACTCACTTCTCCCAAACACACCAGTAGGCAACCTCCTACACTTCACCCTCCCAGTAAACCTCCACTTCTCCTCCCAAATGGCAACCTCCTACACACTTCTCCCAAATACATCAGTAGGCAACCTCCTACACACTTCTCCCAAATACACCAGTAGGCAACCTCCTACACACTTCTCCCAAATACACCAATAGGCAACCTCCTACACACTTCTCCCAAATACACCAGTAGGCAACCTCCTACATACTTCTCCCAAATACACCAGTAGGCAACCTCCTACATACTTCTCCCAAATACACCAGTAGGCAACCTCCTACACACTTCTCCCAATACACCAGTAGGCAACCCCCTACATACTTCTCCCAAATACATCAGTAGGCAACCTCCCACTCACTTTTCCCAAATACATCAGTAGGCAACCTCCCACTCACTTCTCCCAAACACACCCGTAGGCAACCTCCTACACACTTCTCCCAAATACAACAGCAGGCAACCTCCTACTCACTTCTCCCAATATACTAGTAGGCAAGCCCCTACATACTTCTCCGAAATACACCAGCAGGCAACCTCCTACTCACTTCTCCCAAATACACCAGTAGGCAACCTCCTACACACTTCTCCCAAACACACCAGTAGGCAACCTCCTACATACTTCTCCCAAACACATCAGTAGGCAACCTCTCACTCACTTCTCCCAAACACACCAGTAGGCAACCTCCTACACACTTCTCCCAAATACATCAGTAGGCAACCTCTCACTCACTTCTCCCAAACACACCAGTAGGCAACCTCCTACACACTTCTCCCAAATACACCAGTAGGCAACCTCCTACACACTTCTCCCAAATACACCAGCAGGCAACCTCCTACACACTTCTCCCAAACACACCAGTAGGCAACCTCCTACACACTTCTCCCAAACACATCAGTAGGCAACCTCTCACCATCAGTAGGGCACTTCTCCCAAACACACCAGTAGGCAACCTCCTACACACTTCTCCCAAATACATCAGTAGGCAACCTCCTACTCACTTCTCCCAAACACACACAGTAGGCAACCTCCTACACACTTCTCCCAAATACATCAGTAGGCAACCTCCTCACTCACTTCTCCCAAACACACCAGTAGGCAACCTCCTACACACTTCTCCCAAATACATCAGTAGGCAACCTCTCACTCACTTCTCCCAAACACACCAGTAGGCAACATCCTACACACTTCTCCCAAACACACCAGTAGGCAACATCCTACACACTTCTCCCAAACACACCAGTAGGCAACCTCCTACACACTTCTCCCAAACACACCAGTAGGCAACCTCCTACACACTTCTCCCAATACACCAGTAGGCAACCTCCTACATACTTCTCCCAAACACATCAGTAGGCAACATCCTACACACTTCTCCCAAATACACCAGTAGGCAACCTCCTACACACTTCTCCCAATACACCAGTAGGCAACCTCCTACGCACTTCTCCCAGGATACACCAGTAGGCAACCTCCTACGTACTTCTCTTGCACTTTAATACACATTAGTAGCACCTCACATCAATTCTTTGGCGATACGACCCAATTAAGGTGCCATAATCCTAGCTGCCTACCCTTCATGTTTCTACCAACCCATCTGTTCAGGCAGCTACCCTTCATATTACTACCAACCCATCTGTTTAAGCTGCCACCCTGCATGTTTCTACCTACCCATCTGTTTAGGCAGCTACCCTTCATATTTCTACCAACCCATCTGTTTAGGCAGCTACCCTGCATGTTTCTACCAACCCATCTGTTTAGGCAGCTACCCTGCATGTTTCTACCAACCCATCTGTTTAGGCAGCTACCCTGCATGTTTCTACCAACCCATCTGTTTAGGCTGCCACCCTGCATGTTTCTACCGACCCATCTGTTTAGGCAGGCTAAGCAAGAGCTGCTGTTAATTCTGTTATAGATCTGGTGTTGACAAACCAAGGCTTATCCCCCAAACAAATCTGAAATTCAAATCCACTATCAGTGGATCAATCACAGGTAAGGGAAGGAACTCTACAAGTAAACCCAGTCGCCCAGAGTCGTCCTTGAGCCTGAGGTTCCTCCAAGGTGAGAAGATACCACATCCTCATAGTAACGCTGGAACACAACTAGTTGTATCCTAGTTGTATTCTAGAAGTTGCTGGACAAGTGCATAGTGCTTATATGGACTTTCTCTGGGAAAGAATAAAACTTCACTGAAATAACAACTTGTACTACTATCCTCACACTGTGGACATCGAAACTAATTTCCAGCAAATAATATGTGAGGTGGTACAACCCAAATAGAAGTCCTACCTGGTCCATCTTCACTTTGTCAACTGGCATTGTGATAACCTCAGTTATCTCCCCTGCAACCTCACGCCACACATGTTCAACAAGGTCGGACACATGGGGGTCAAGGTCATTACTTTCAGAAGGTAACTCTGCCAAAATCTGGAACACATGGACATGAAACATGATTATTTACAGACTGGTGGCATTAAACATACAGGTAAATAAACAAACAAACAGATGCTCATAGTATAATGAGAATTGTACGATCACCTTGTACACCTTTCTTATGAATGTGGATAGGGTGTTGTCACTTCACTACAAATGATGAATTCATCATGTGGGATCCTCAAATGTTTGAAGAGTTATAATGACCACATTCACAGACAGGAAATATACTACTACTTAATATAAACATCTATTTATGTAAGTGTATCATGTATCATGTTATGAAGATTTGTATACAATAATGTCAAAAATATTAATGCATTTGATGTCAACACACAAGCTTCAGGGTTCATGTTTGCATGAGGTATTTCACCTTTTGCAGTTTTGGAGATCCAATATTCCTGCTGACTTTCCTCCCTGTAACCACGGCCATCTTCTTGCCTGGCAGCGTCTGTTCCTTGTGCACATTACCAAATATGGCCAGTATTTCCTCCGATGTTTTGGCATATCTACACTCCCTACAACAGTCATACCCTTCCTGGAACAGATAAATACAATAACAATCACTAATGCCTTGAAATGTTAGCTTGTTTGGAAATGACACAGTTCATTCATAAACTCATGTTAGATATTTGTAGAACCACAACGTTTGATACACTGAATGCCACACACTGAATGCCACACATACAGGGTGCATCAATAACTGTTACGTCTCACAACGTTTGATACACTGAATGCCACACATACCCACCACAGGGTGCATCAATAAGTGTTACGTCTCACAACGTTCTTTTAATTATCTATTCCAGTCTATTGTAACTACTACCTTTTAAGAGAATGCACTATTGTGTTGCAAAAGCCATATCACAATATATAACGGATAATACATTTCATTTTGAGGCACTCTCTAAACTGGAAAATACTTTATTCAAACGTGTTACATGACATCACCTGAGCATCCTTGAGACTGCCGTGGTGTGTGTACACCCTGAAGCGGGGGTCCTCTGAGTCCTTGTTCTGGTCCTGGGACTGAGTCACGTGGATCTCCACCACAAAGAAAGTAGCTGCATCTGTCTTCTTATCATAGCCCTGGACAACATGGGACAAGACTTGACAACACTGGACAACATGGGACAAGACTTGACAACACTGGACAACATTGTATAAAATCTAACAACATGGGACAAGAAGTGATTGAGCTAAGTTCACGCAGTGATCATAGAGACTATGTTCGAGGAGTTACGACAACGGTAGACAGTAGCTGAGTGAGTGAGTGAGTGAGTGAGTGAATGAGTGAGCCTCCAGTATTCAGCATACCAGTACTGCTCAAAGCAGGTGGACAGTACCTCCCAGTCCCACAGGGGCGTGTCACGCTTAGAAACAGCGTTAGAAAGCCATATAGGTATATACAGCCTACCCTAGTACTATATCAAAGGAAAGGGATGTAACGACTGAAACACCACCTCCTCAATCAAAGTTAGATTTCACTGCGTAAACTATTTTTAAGGCCCCGTCGAGGCCTACGGATCAAAAGCGAGATGATTTCCCTACAAAATGAGCTATAAATGGTCACAAGCGGATCATTATTTCAAAAGTTATACGCCATGACTCACCGAAAACAGCTACCTCTGCAATTTCAAGCCAAAATCATGGATCACCCAAGACAGCAAAAACACACCTATTAAATTTGTTTATTAATTCCAGCCACGTTGACAGCACCTATGTAGGGCTAGATTCGATCGGCAGCGGCATTCCATGGGTCTAAAACCTTATTGCAACATCTATAAATCATTTCCTCGACAGTAAGCTGGACTTTTCTCCAAAACCATCAGCAATCATACTCACTTGTCGGACATAGATAGCCTTGACATTTAAGAGACCTGAGCAGTAAATTGGTAAGAATAATTTAGAGGTTAAATATTTATAAATAAATTTTCCTAAAAATAAATCAATATCGAATGCATTTTTACAACCTCTAAAATTATTCTTATATCATCCAGAATAGAAGGAATATTACAAAGTTCATATTTTGCGCCCTTTAGCAAACAGGCAAAATCTTACAGTATATTATATTTTCCACCAATCGGATGGCCCAGTTCAGTTTCTGCGGATCTGCTCAGATCACTTGAATGTCAAGGCCATCTATGGCCAACAAGTGATTATGATTGCCGGTGGTTTGGGAGAAAATGCCTACTTACTGTCGAGGAAATGATTTGTAGATGTTGCAATGAGTTTTTAGACCCGTGGAATGACGCTGCCGATCGAATCTAGCCCTACATAGGTACTGTCAACGTGGCTGGAATTAATAAATGAATTTAAAAGGTGAGTTTTTGCTGTCTTGGGTGATCCATGATTTTGGCTTGGAATTGCAGAGGTAGCTGTTTTCGGTGAGTTGTGGCGTATAACGTTTGAAATAATGATCCGCTTGTGACCATTTATAGTTCTCTTTGTAGGGAAATCATCTCGCTTTCGATCCGTAGGCCTCGACGGGTCCTTAAATATAGTTTACGCAGTGAAATCTAACTTTGATTGAGCAGGGGGTGGTTCCATCGTTACATCCCTTTCATTTTATATAGTACTAGGGTAGGGTCCATATACCTATATGTCTTTCTAACGCTGTTTCTCAGTGTGAAATGCCCCTGTGCCCAGTCCTACATGTACTGTCCTGTGGCCAGCTGAATCTGCTACTGGTCACGATAGATCACAGGCAAACTGTAGCTGAATCTGCTACTGGTGAGGATAGATCACAGGCAAACCATAGCTGAATCTGCTACTGGTCACGATAGATCACAGGCAAACCATAGCTGAATCTGCTACTGGTGAGGATAGATCACAGGCAAACCATAGCTGAATCTGCTACTGGTGAGGATAGATCACAGGCAAACCGTAGCTGAATCTGCTACTGGTGAGGATAATCACAGGCAAAGCTGAATCTGCTACTGGTGAGGATAGATCACAGGCAAACCATAGCTGAATCTGCTACTGGTCAGGATAGATCACAGGCAAACCATAGCTGAATCTGCTACTGGTGAGGATAGATCACAGGCAAACTGTAGCTGAATCTGCTACTGGTGAGGATAGATCACAGGCAAACCGTGGCTGAATCTGCTACTGGTCACGATAGATCACAGGCAAACCGCAGCTGAATCTGCTACTGGTCACGATAGATCACAGGCAAACCGCAGCACATATATGGTTGCTCAACAGAGAGAAAAATGACCAGGCTTCCTATTTGCAAGCAAAACAAACAAAGGTTGGCAACATACTTCCTGGTCATTTACTCTCTGATGCACAACCCTATTAGTGCTACAGTTTGCCTGTGGATACAGGGGTCGACAGAGGGAAAGAGCAACTGAGTAAAGGATTGAGTTTAGGCTGATTGTATTGGAGTTGAGTTGTAACTTGTTTGTCACACCATGGATCCCACATCAAGTGCAGGCAAATTGGGAAAAAAGTCATACTGCTGAAAATTTAAGCAGACTTATGTCTTATATCTTTTAATAAAGATTTGGTAGATTAAGAATAGTTACTATTAAGTAGTAATGTATATAACCTTGTTACCATGCAGTTATGTGTACACTTATATTTAATAGGAATAGAATATGAATACACAATGCCATTTAGAAAGTGGTCAAATGTAACATATGTTATATTTGGGATTATATTCTGCTTTCTCAGTAAAGTATAGATTGTAGTACTTTTGTTGGGTTGAGTCCCATGAGGGACCCCCACCCTCAGAGTCAGGTACCTAATCGCCAGCACACAAAGTCAGCCATCTAACTCACTCAGCTGCCGCGACTTCCACAAAAATGGTAGTCGGACAACTGGCAGTCTACACTTCCAAATACCTGTGAAGATCTGGGTTAGAATATTGATTTTCAGTAACCCATGATTGTCGTAAGAGGCGACTAACGGGATCGGGTGGTCAGGCTCACTGACTTGTCATCGGTTCCCAATTGCATAGATCGATGCTCATGCTGGTGATCACTGGATTGTCTTGTCGGGACTTGATTATTTACAGACCGCCGCCATATAGCTGGAATATTGCTGAGTGCGGCATAAAAATAACCTCACTCACTCACTAGACTTCCAAACAAACCTTGGACCTAGGTAGCTGACTCACCCACAACATTATAATTACACCAACCTCAAACATGGCATACTTGGCAACTTCATATTTGTCTTCATCAAAGAATGGCGCCTTATTGTCCCCATACTGCCATACTTTAACCCCCTTGATGCTGAAAATGGACTTGGTCTTCTTCCTTTGCTCTGTCTTTGGCGTTAGCGCTGGAATCAAGGGTGAATGTTTAAACGCCACCAAACCACCAACATGTTCAAGTAATCAATATTGCAGATTTACACATAGTCAACACGTTTACACATAGTCAACACGTTTACACATAGTCAACACGAAGAAAATTCTTAATGGTCCAGGATTTACATCTGATTCTCAACAAAATGTTTGTATTAAGTCTAATTCAAATCACAGAATGCTAAACATGTGTCCAATAAAATGACACCATTGACAGAGAGACAACAGACAGAGAGATGGTTTCATTGCTTCTCAACAAACTTTGTGTCTAATACTGACATCACTACCAACAGATCCTTGTGAGAAACTTGTTCCTCGTCACTGGTCATTAGTAGACTCAGTGGTTAAAATTGGATGATATTTTACCTGTAATTTTTCCTGACTTGAAATCTGATGTCTTGCTTCTCCCACCAATGATGTACTCATCTGTAAGTGGTAGTTGGCCATGCCTGATGGCGTCAGACACATACTCTGGGGAGACAACTGGAATGCCGTACTTGACAGCCATCCTGCATTTTGATGACACGTCAAACTTCTCTGGATCATTTCCAACGACATGTGTTGTCTGTGTCAAGTAATCAGGAATGTTTTAGTGTTATATATATCTTAGATATATAATGTAAATAGTCTTCTAAAAAACAAAAGCTGAATTAATTACAATATCTGCAACCACTCTGGAAGTAATTATTTAGTCAGCAAGCAAATCAAGACAGGGGTTCAAATTTATTTTTAAAAAGCCACTTGCCACAGGGCAAGTGACTTTAAGAAAGTAACTTGTCCTGACTAATTTTCCACTTGCCATGATTTTATGACATAATTATGATGATGTAATTATGAAAGAAGAAATCAACATGGTATTTGATGTTAATGTTTACTGGACTATTTATTGAAAAGTGTTAAATAGCAAAGAAAGATAACTCTACTTTACATTGCGAAATTTAATAGCTACATTTTGAGCAGATATGAAATTAAATCAAAGTTTATTTGCAGTTTGAAACCATAAATGGAAATTACCTAGTAGCCCACGGACAAGTAAGATACCATTATTTGATTGCCCGTCGGGCGATGGGATTTTTGAACCCCTGCAAGATGTTTTAAACCTCACTTGCCACTTGATACATGCATTTCTACTTTCATGACCTTATCCATTTTATCAAATTCTTCCAGAGCCTTAGAACTTTCATGAAATAAACGTGAGTAAATGTTTCCCATCCTTCAGAAACGTAACACCTCTATCACACCTTTCCAAGCCATCTATCCAGCATATCTATCATCAAGAAAGTAGTACCTTTTTTTGTGACGATGAAAGAAACAATGCCCCCATTGTCCAGTATCTTCTTCTTTATCTCAACTTTCTTCTTGAAACTGACGCTGGTTGTGAGGTCAAGGGCAATCACACAAGTGGAGAAAACCCCCATGTTGACATCAGCTGAAGCAGATGTCAATACCGTGATCATTACACATCCTTCCTGGGGCGGGAGCAAGAAGAACCCATGAGGGTTTACTGACAATGGTGTGATACACGTACACTTCTAACGTGTCACATAGTAACGTAGTTCACTCACAGGGGGCCTACCATGTGCGTCTACAGCACCTAAATGCTTGTAGTAATGATATACTACATGCTAGCTTTAAAGGGAAACAAAACTCAAACACTGAATGTGTTGAAATATGGATCAGTTGTTTCTTCCCTGAATACAAATTTGCTTGTTACGGGCAATAATTTTGACAGGTTTACTTTGTTTCGCCCTGTTCTGCAAAACATCAAAGTGTAATGCTATTGTTAACATCAGTATTATGCTTAGTGACAGACACAAACTTTATGGATAACAACTTCTTTTTATTGGTGAGTGCGACGTTTCGATACAGATTCTTGTACCGTTGTCAAGCATAATGGAACATGAAGAAGGGGGAAGTATATATATATACTGGATGTAACAATGTAACAATGAAAACAACATAATTAACATAATTGGCTAGGCAGAAAGCTGATGTGGATGGCTTCGGTGAGCTTGCGGTTAGTGAAGTCTGTTTGTTTGTTAGAGGGAATAGTGATGTCAGACCACTCTATTTGATGATTGGGGCTTGCTTTGATGTGGTCGGAAATGGCTGATTTGCTGTCGGAATTGGTAACAGAGGTCTGATGTTCTTTCACTCGGGTGTTGATGGGTCGGGAAGTTTCGCCTATGTAGCTCTGCCCACAATCACAGTATATTTTGTAGATGACCGAAGCCATCCACATCAAACGCCAAAAGCCCACCATCAACCGAGACCAAGGATACTTCATTCCATCCGCTTATGATGCACTCATCCACCAAGCCCAATCTACTGTATAAACTCTGCTGTATAAACATCTCATTATTATTTGTACATCATTGGCTTCCACGCCTGTCCTTTGTCTACTCTCTGGCTTCATCAGCTTTCTGCCTAGCCAATTATGTTAATTATGTTGTTTTCTTTGTTCCATTGTTACATCCAGTATATATATACTTCCCCCTTCTTCATGTTCCATTATGCTTGACAACGGTACAAGAATCTGTATCAAAACGTCGCATTCACCAATAAAAAGAAGTTGTTATCCATAAAGTTTGTTCTATATTGTACAATAATATACAATTAAATTTTTGGGTTGCAATGATTGAATGAAAATTTTATACGGCATTATATATCCCAGTATCAAGTTATTTTAGTTGCAGCTTATACTCAACATATTTGATAAAATATTACCACTTTGGAATAATTGATTGCACTGCTAAATAATTCTATGCATGGAACCATATGATCAGCAACCGCTGAGGCTTCAGGCATTCCTGCTACAGCAAATGAATGAAACCAAAAGGAATATTGTTCGATGGAATACATCTGTCAATATCCCATATAGGAACAATATCACATACATCTAAAGCTGTGCAAACAAACTTGTTCAATGTCACATGTCTTTGTGGCAATCTAATGCTTAAAAATATCTAAAACATTTCAGGATATTTGACCTCGTGCTTGTCTCTCAACTGATCACAAAAGTTTATTTCAGGTAGTTCACATCAGTGTCAGGCCTCAATGGTCAGCTGAGATAGTACGTGTGACATCTTTGTTCATGTTCTTTAATGTATTTGCAAATGAAAGATTTTTGTACATACATTCTTATCAAATACACAAATTCCTATACAATGGTTTTCAAGAAGACACTCCCTCACCAGGTCCAAACCCAGGTTGTTGGGCAGGTGTACAGGTGTGTACAGGTGTGTACAGGTGTGTAGAGTTGTGTTCTTCAGGCTTGATGTATTTACTTCTGACTGCTATACTTCAACATGCACGAACAGATCATCATGCAGAGAACATATTAACCAATCTCAAGCCTGTGATTAACCCTGACTGACAACATGAGACGTCATTGAATAAGAACATGGCATTGTACAAAAATAGACAAATATATACTACCCATCAAAAGTTTAGACTCACTAGTGTAAATGTAGCCACTTACTTGTCCACTGTTCTAAACTAGCTTTTTGCAAAATATTCCATACTGTTTAAAGGTACTGTTTAGTTATGAACTGGTGTATTGTAAAACATATTCGTAACATTGAAAAGATTATTGTCATGAGTTCAGTAAATGATTAAAATCTGTGAAAATTGGCGAATTCTTAACAAAACTTTACACCAAAACAAATCTGTTCACATGCACGACATTTGCTCATGCCTTTCGCAATTTGAAGCATCATCCTTGTGCAATTCATCTGCATAAGGTTTTCAGTTGGTTCCCCCAAGTTGGTGGAGAAATTCATCTTCGATGTAACCACATACATATACATAACATATAGTGAGTGCTTTCAGTGAGTCTAAACTTTTGATGGGTAGTATATATATTGACTTGTGTATCCTACAAGGTTTAAGTCACATAAATGTCTCAACATTCATCGAGAGGACAAGTCTTCTTAGAGGTTACAGAAATAAATGAGTGGTGATGAATGGCACAAAATGTCTCACTGGCTGCTGAAAAGTTATCGCCATATTTGAGCGGTATTTACAAAATTACTATGAAAAAGAATTAACTATCATACTTAATTAGCCATTCACCAATGTGTCCAGCCAGTTCACTGAGGCCAATCATGCTTTTATATAACGCTGCGGAAGGAAATCATGTCAGTTCAAAGAGGTCTTTTCTCACAACTAACTGTAACCTCGAATAATTGAATACATGACTTTACTGAGTGTTTTTTTTTTTTCACAGTAGACTGATAGTGAATGAAACAATTAAAGGTCACATGCAACGTAAAACACAACTTTGCAGATTCTGATACCTTTCGGTATGGACTTACCGAAACAAAGCGTCAAAAATGCAAATTCAACTTATAAAGTTGAAAAATAACGCGATGAAAAAAACGCGAGAAATCGGAGTTCAAACGTTTCACTAATTTTCCCCAGACTTTTCTGGGGAATACAGGTTTCAACAGCTGGGCTGCGCTCATAGCGTCTTGCGCAGTGAAATAGGTTCGAAGCGGGCTGTCTGGTGAATTACTCGGTGAAGGCTTTGGTGTGAGCTATTTTCATAATGTTTTGTTGATATCTCACAGGCGCCGCTTTTTATATGTTATGACAGTAAATAAACTGTTTATATAATTTCATTTGTCTATTTGACCACACGCTCTTCTTACCGAGTCACTTTCTCAGTTCGATACTTAAAAGCAATGTCATTATTTAGCGTTGACACAATTTCTAACTGTGATATAGATATGTCGTTGTCAAAGACAAAACTCAATGTCTTGTTTTATTGACACCTGTGTGTCTGCCTGCCTGTCTGCTAATGACAATATTCAATACACAACTTCGATCACTGACCACATGCAATTTGAACTTAACACCAATCAGGCTATACACCATAAACAAAACGCATTGATTTATGGCCCGAGTTCAGTCTCTGTCACATTATGTAATTACACAGACAGGCAGGTGTGATACTTGAACACATGACATGTTATGATGTCTGTTGATTGCAAAATGTTATACACAAAAAATGAGCATGTATTTACAAAACCCAACATCTCTATATATACACACACAATGAGCCGTGAAGGCAGCATCTGCTAATGAACCAGCCGTTACACTTGAGTGCACACCCACCCGCTCTGACTGGGTTCGGTATCCCGGCTGCTTCGTTTCGAGGGAGGTAAACCCAAGTACAAAATATTGCACTTTTGATTTGCGATTATACGCTTATAATTTTGTTTATTTGTTTTTTCATAATCAGCAATGCATATTATATGTCATGAAGAAGGGATAATTGTGTTTTAATTATGTTTGATTTTTTGGTTGCATGTGACCTTTAATGATTTCTTATAACTTGAACTTGCTATTATATAGATTGTGTGATATTCCCCCAGACTAAGTTAAAAAAGGTTTTTGGGTTCATAACTTTATCTTTAATTTTTCTCTTAAGCCAGACCAATTTTATTTCTTGTTTTACGGATCAGCCGGTCATAATTTTTCAAGAATAAGAAAAAAATAATAATTAATTTTTCCTGCTCCAAAAATAAAATCCTTATGTTTTTATTTGGAAAAATGTAAACTTGTAAGAAAATGTTTTTTATAAATTGTGTTTTTGCCCCATATGCACTTCACAATTTACCAAAAGTAAAATACCTTTAATATTTAGAAGGAATATTACTTTGACTGGTGATTTTATTCTTATGTTTTTTCTCTGCCTTTAGGTTATTGGAGGATAAAAATCCATAAAACAAGAAATAAAATTGGTCTGGCCTTATGTTACTTACCATGAAGAAGTTTCTTTTGCTGTCCTTTATTGTTGTCAAATACTGTGGAAAAAATACTGGAATTGTGATTGACCGGAATTGTGCACATGTGATATTGATGTTTTGGCGATAACTGTCACAAGGCTATAACTGTTCGGCAACCAGTCAACATTTTTGTATTTTGATACAGCTGAGACAACACATTTTCCCATGATTCAATGAATTAATTTGGATTATTTCAGGAATTCCAGATATAGCATTGCAGAATGTACAGTATTCATTGGTACCGTAAAAGTGCTGAGCTGAATTGTATGAGATGTGTTATGTGTGAATAAAAGATAGAAGGAAATGTGGGCGGATATGTATACAACCAGAGGCGTGTTCAGAACCGCGAGCGCCCGCGAACGCTAGCGAACGCTCGATCCTGAACGCCTGTGCCCGTTCGAGCGCCCGCGAACCATCCTCACAGGTGCCTCGCCAAGCGAACCAACATGGCGATCATGTTTAATGTCATTCGTCACCACTCGCCCCTTTCCGTAACCTCCAAAAAGAAGGCATGGAGGATATTTTGTTAATGTTGTCAAATAACATGTACATTTCATCGAGTGGTCTGACAAAGTTGATATGTTCACGAGTGGCGTAACCATTGACAACATTAACAAAATATATTCTATTTATGATATTTTGATCAATGTTTATAAATGATCGAGACATCGATTTCGTAGTTCGCGTTTCGTTGTTCCAGGCAAAAGTGATATTCTACTCAGTGAAAATGAAAATACCATTTTTCTTTTCACCAATGTCAGTATTTCACCCTTAAGAATATAATAAAAGAAGCTATTCGGCTTGTCCCGGAACAACACGAGTTGGTCACGAATGGTTTATTGTAACCAAGCGCTCGCGTCCGTTCAGGGCCGATGCGAGCGCTCGCGGGAGGCAATCGCACGGGCGCTCGCGGTTCTGAACACGCCTCAGGTATGTCTGCCTTTCTGTATCACGATGCAAGCAGTATCCGGGTGGGATGGGTGGCAATTTTTAGGAGGAAACATTTGAACTTTTGTCGAAGGGGACCTAACTATTTATCACAGTTTCAAAATATAAAGGATTTTAAATATATGCTTTGACGGCAACACGTATTAAAATGGACTGTCAGCATATTTTTACACATTTATTTCCTGTCCCGGAAGTGAAATCGACAACAGGGATACCAATGCTGAAACGCTCGTATATTCTGACATCCCCAATGTCATGTACTACAGAAGTAAACTATTATTACTAAGTCAAGAACAATACCTTTCTTGGCGATGAACAAGTTAGAACCTAATTTCTTTCATCAAACAACTACATCCCAATGTACCACTATGTAGGCGTGAGTAAACAAGCTATACATAGTAACATAGTCGACACATACTCTACTACAGCACTAACATTGTATGCGGTTGCATTTTTGAGGAGATTACCGAACCCTCTAAGGCCCCCCCGAATGTCGGCAAAGAGTTTACACATATTAACCAATGAAATAAAAGGAAGCCATTTACTGCGTGGTGTATTTTTCAAAATGGCGTCTTCTTCGGACTCGAAGCATGTTGATATTGACTGGCTTCATCCTGAATTACTAACGAAAGATGGACTTCTGTACATACTTGAGCAGGTGGATGTTTGCGGTTGTATTTTGTGGCATCCTCAAGTTATCTTTTCCATTTGTCAGTACCTTGTTCAGGAGACATGAAATATTACACAGGCCAAGGCGTGCATGAGCGGTGTGGCTCACACCTAGGGAATATTGCATCAGTCTCCACATGCTGACAACATGTCAAATGCACATCTTGGCACATAATAGCCTAGTATCCTACCCCCACGATGGGGATCTATTAATAGCAATCCGCTTGTGGGCTTTAATTCGCTTCAAAAGAATTTAATGGGTCGTTGTCGGCACGGGTAGCCTTAGCCGGGAAAGAGTTCCTTACGTACCCCTCCTATTTTTGTGATGAGCAAACACTATAGTTTAGTCAATAGTGCATAGTTAAAAATTAGGTGGGGGGTACGTAAGGAAACCTTACCCCTCACTTGTTGGGGTGATGCCGAACGGGGACATTCTGAGATACATGTGCCGAGTATTGAAAGTGGTCAACAGTGATGTGCTGTGTTAGAGAGGAATCTGCCAAACTCCTCGGTGATGAATCAAGTTTTGTAAACCACTTAATTGGCATTGGGCATTCTTGCCATTGGGCACACTGTCCTCTGGGATAGTGCTATCTGTTAAGATCCTTGTTTAGGTCCATAGGATCTTTTTATATTCGTAACTTGTTGGTATCCTTCTTTTTGGCTATGACTCCTTGCACCATCTCGTCCAGTTCCTCTTTCACTTCTGTACTTGACATCGAGCATGTATCACAAGTAGTTTGTCACTATCTAGTAGTGGTGGTCCGATTAATTGAAATAATCGAAGATTGGTCGTAGTGACTAAACGACCAAGCAATCGATCATAATTTCTCATAATCGAACACAAACAATTCTGGAACACTTGTTTTCATTAACAATATTTTTCACATGGTTGGTTTTGTCTGTTACATTTCGTAAGCACAACAAGCTCGTTTCAAGTCATGATTGAATTTATCTTAAAGATTCCAAGAAATTTAGGTTCCTAACATACTAGTCATCCATTAAAGATGTGAAATTCTGCCAAAAAAACCCCAAAGAACTGCATTTTTTCCCTTTTTGTTATGTGCATTAACACATTTCAATAATGACGCTAACCAATTATTTTCGATGATTGATCGGTAGTAATGAACCAATTATCAATTATGAGATTTTAACCAATTCCCAACACTACTATCTAGTTCAGCACTATACTTCACCTGTAGGTTTCCTAGCCTGCCATAAAACAGTGTATGGTACTGTTTCACTTTCAGAATCTGTGCCTTCGTCAGAGGCTGTGTCTTCTTCTCGTTCAAAGAGTGTTCACAAATGTTGAATACATCTTCATCAAAAGACAATAACTTGAAGTCATACACAGGTAGTTTGTCATTATCTAGTTCAGCACTATACTCCACCTGTAGGATTCCTAGCCTGCCATCAAACAGTGTATAGCACTGTTTCACTTTCAGAATCTGTGCCTTCGTACACTATCCTTCAACATGTTCAATCCGATGATTGGTTTGAGTGACTTCATGAAATGTGAGAGTTTCCCCTTCATTCTTGTACTTCACATCAATTTGGTTCTGCTCAGTGTTCTTCATGAGCTACCTCCATAGTTAACAAAATTTACAGAGTGCTCTGTTTATCAATCTTTTCTTTTCTTCTAATTTTCTTGAATGTGGCAAAAGGAAGAACGTTGCATGTAGCTCCTCTGTCAACCTTCAGTCGAACTTGCTCATTGTTGATAAGGACACTTGCATAAGCTTCCAGCGGTGAATTATGTCATAAACTTCTAGGGAATCAGTGAGGAAATAATTATCTTCATTATCATCATCATCATACTCTGATTGTTCACCAGTGTCATATACTGTGCATCTTGGTGTATGTTTGACTTGTCTGCCTTGTGTTTGTCAGCGATGATGTGTTTGTTTGTCTTGTCTTGCATTAGATCTGGATTTGCAAGCACTGGCAAAGTGATTCATTTTTTTTCACACTTGTTACATTTCTTTCCTTTGGAAGGGCCACATCCAATAGGATGTTCATAACAACAGTTTCTACACTTAGGAAAAGTTCTAGTTACTTGTGGCATGTACCTCTGTAGGTTTACACAGCTCCTATATACCCTTGCTAGAGATGTCCTACTGTACAACTGGGGCTACAGCCTCTGTAGGTTTACACAGCTCCTATATACCCATGCTAGAGATGTCCTACTGTACAACTGGGGCTACAGCCTCTGTACAGCCTCTGTAGGTTTACACAGCTCCTATATACCCATGCTAGAGATGTCCTACTGTACAACTGGGGCTACAGCCTCTGTAGGTTTACACAGCTCCTATATACCCATGCTAGAGATGTCCTACTGTACAACTGGGGCTACAGCCTCTGTAGGTTTACACAGCTCCTATATACCCTTGCTAGAGATGTCCTACTGTACAACTGGGGCTACAGCCTCTGTAGGTTTACATGCTAGCTCCTATATACCCATGCTAGAGATGTCCTACTGTACAACTGGGGCTACACACAGCCTCTGTAGGATGTCCTTGTACAACTGGGGCTACAGCCTCCTATATACCCATGCTAGAGATGTCCTACTGTACACAGCTGGGGTCCTACTGTACAACTGGGGCTACAGCCTCTGTAGGTTTACACAGCTCCTATATACCCATGCTAGAGATGTCCTGAGATGTCCTGCTGTACAATTGGGGCTGTACAACTGGGGCTACAGCCTCTGTAGGTTTACACAGCTCCTATATACCCATGCTAGAGATGTCCTACTGTACAACTGGGGCTACAGCCTCTGTAGGTTTACACAGCTCCTATATACCCATGCTAGAGATGTCCTACTGTACAACTGGGGCAGCTCCTATATACCCATGCTAGACAGCCTCTGTGGGTTTACACAGCTCCTATATACCCATGCTAGAGATGTCCTACTGTGCACACTGGGGCTACAGCCTCTGTAGGTTTACACAGCTCCTATATACCCCATGCTAGAGATGTGTACCTACTGTACAAGCTGGGGCTACACAACCTCTGTAGGTTTACACAGCTCCTATATACCCATGCTAGAGATGTCCTACTGTACAACTGTGGCTACAGCCTCTGTAGGTTTACACAGCTCCTATATACCCATGCTAGAGATGTCCTACTGTACAACTGGGGCTACAGCCTCTGTAGGTTTACACAGCTCCTATATACCCATGCTAGAGATGTCCTACTGTACAACTGTGGCTACAGCCTCTGTAGGTTTACACAGCTCCTATATACCCATGCTAGAGATGTCCTACTGTACAACTGGGGCTACAGCCTCTGTGCTACAACTGGGGCTACAGCCTCTGTGGGTTTACAGGAGATTTACACAGCTCCTATATATATACCCATGCTAGAGATGTCCTACTGTACAACTGGGGCTACAGCCTCTGTAGGTTTACACAGCTCCTATATACCCATGCTAGAGATGTCCTACTGTACAACTGGGGCTACAGCCTCTGTAGGTTTACACACAGCTCCTATATACCCAGAGATGTCCTGCTAGAGATGTCCCACTAGAGATGTCCTACACAACTGGGGCTACAGCCTCTGTAGGTTTACACAGCTCCTATATACCCATGCTAGAGATGTCCTACTGTACAACTGGTGGCTACAGCCTCTGTAGGTTTCCTACACAGCCTCTGTACAACTGTGGCTACAGCCTCTGTACCCTCCTATATACCCATGCTAGAGATGTCCTACTGTGCAACTGGGGCTACAGCCTCTGTGGGTTTACACAGCTCCTATATACCCATGCTAGAGATGTCCTACTGTACAACTGGGGCTACAGCCTCTGTAGGTTTACACACATGCTCCCTATATACCCATGCTAGATGCTAGAGATGTCCTACTGTACAACTGGGGCTACAGCCTCTGTAGGTTTACACAGCTCCTATATACCCATGCTAGAGATGTCCTACTGTACAACTGGGGCTACAGCCTCTGTAGGTTTACACAGCTCCTATATACCCATGCTAGAGATGTCCTACTGTACAACTGGGGCTACAGCCTCTGTAGGTTTACACAGCTCCTATATACCCATGCTAGAGATGTCCTACTGTACAACTGGGGCTACAGCCTCTGTAGGTTTACACAGCTCCTATATACCCTTGCTAGAGATGTCCTACTGTACAACTGGGGCTACAGCCTCTGTAGGTTTACACAGCTCCTATATACCCATGCTAGAGATGTCCTACAGCCTGTACAACTGGGGCTAGAGCCTCTGTGGTCCACAGCTCCTATATACCCTTGCTAGAGGTGTCCTACTGTACAACTGGGGCTACAGCCTCTGGTAGATTAAGATCATGTTTTTCTCAAACCATCAGTGTTTATCAGTGCTATCCTGTCTCTTAACATTTCATCTTTCAAATTTCCAAAGTTGCATGAATTAGCTTTGTTGATGAGATCTGGATAAAATGTTTGAAATGGTTCACCTTTTTCTTGATTCCATGAAAAGAATCTAAATCTCTCAAGTGTAATGTTTGTTTGAGGAATGCACAGTTACTAAATATATCTTTGAGCACAGTCAATTTCTCACTTGTTTCCTCACCCACGTACTGAAATGACTTGCCCCTTTCAGTGTGCTCCTTGCCTGCAGTGTTGAAGAAAATGTAAGCTTGAGTATTATCATACTTGTCGCTATAGGCAGCAACAAGTAAAATGTCAAATTCCTGCTCAAACTGTCGCCTGTTTTCTGCAACATTCCTTTCACAGGAGAATGGTTTCGGTCTGTTCAGACAGTCCGCCATTGGAGCAAATGCTCGCAGATCAAACAACAAATTTCACAGTCACAAAACCACACACTGTTACAAAGTTCTCAGCATGACACTGCACAAAAGTCAGTTAATGTTATTGTACGTAACTTCTGACACAATATAAAATGATGTTATCCAACACTGATTGTTAGGTTCAATCATTTATGTACTTGGTGATATGATACATGTTGCACGCTCTGATCGCAGCCATGCTTGATAGAAGAGCGATGCTCAGTTCTTACTAAAAGCTTGACTGTAAGTCAGAATACAGATTCCTCTACACTAGTCATAGTGATCTGATTTATTTAACATATGTTTGTTATTTGTGCATGTCTTCAGAGCATCTAAGAAGTAAAAATATGTGTGAAAAAAGGTTGGGAGTTGAAAATCATGGATAGCTATTTCATATCCTTGATGCAGGCATGTTTCATTGTTGTATGTTCAGGACTTCCTTGTGATGTCCTTGTGATGTCCTTGTGATGTCCTTTACGCTGAAATTATCTATCAGGACAAGACCTGTGTCACTGCTTTAAATACATGGAACAACATCCTTTTGGTAGAAGGAAGAAGGACGTCCTGAACAACAATGCAACATGTATACATATAGACTATATATGTATACAGACAGGATGTTCCAAACCTGCCACATGGTTTATGCAAAACAACCATATATGATTGTATAAGGAAATGAATGGGATTCAACTTTCAAGGTATCTGGACTGTAAACTGACCTGATACATCTAATGTAATTTCTACACAACAGTGGTGAAACACAAACTAGAATCATTTTCATTTGTAAAGGAAAAATATTTACCTATTCATAAACTTGTTAAAGCTGTTTTAAAGCAGCTTGACATCTAGCTCTGCTCTTCTGTTGACCATGTTGACAAGAAAAAGGCATTGTCTTTCAATCATGCTGCTTGGGTTTCAACCAAAATAAATGGGAAGGCTATGTTGATTCATTTAGCATTTTGTATGGAATGATTGTTAGCCACCATGTCTTAATGAGTAAATCCAACATTTGGGTGGCGCAACTGGTTGGATCTGTGGTTTGTTTTTCCTTAGTGCTTGAGGAAACTACTCGTTTGAATAATGTCCTTTAACATTAAAATTAAGATTGTCTTTAACATGCTGTCTCTTGTGTTCCATTTAAAGCTTCTAACACAAGTCTGACCCTGTCTCAAGTATTGTTGTTGTAAATGTAAGATATCTTAGTGTAAAGGCAGCTTCAAGTATAGACTCAGCAAAGATTTATTCTTGCTACAACACCTTTATATGAATCTTAGCACTAAGACAACCACCTGATTCAGCATTCATCAGTGTTCATTGGTGCCATTTGGAGATAATGTATCAAAGTGTCCACCTAATTCATATTTACTCATCATCGTCCAAGTTAAAGTGTTTGTGATTATCAATACCATTGCTGCTCCTGATACTGATGGTGTATTCTGTGTTTTTCAGAGGTACATCCAGATGCCCAACCTGCAGGATCTGGATAAGGAAGAGCTCCTCCAGCTCTACTACAAGTACATCCTGCCCCTCCCTCAGAGGCAGTACCGTCAGAACCGCCGCGGACAAGACTTGACTAAGAAACAGATCCTTCTGGCCAAGAAGAGACGCATCACAGCTCCTGACATGGATGAACCTCCACAAAAGTATGTAATCATGTCATGCTTACACATGTTGCATGTATCTGTCTTTGTTTATGTGATCATTCTAAGTTTCGGTTAGTTTCCTGACTACCAACCATGTTTGAAAAGTCTAAAGGTTGTCACAGGTTTCATTCCCTGACTACCAACCATGTTTAAAGAAGTCTAAAGGTTGTCACAGGTTTCATTCCCTGACTACCAACCATGTTTAAAGAAGTGTAAAGGTCGTCACAGGTTTATTCCCTGTTCATTTGCCAGTCATTTTGAAAACCAAACTTTTGGATGTTGAGCAATGTGACAGTGATAAGATTAAAAGTTGAATTCCTTGTTCGATTGTTTAATGACTGTCTCATTTTGCCGATCGTATTAAACATACTTGCTTCAGATTGAGTGAAAATGGGGACTTCTTTATAGATTGTTTATGTTGCAGAAAATAGTTCATACAATTGCTGGGAACAATATGAGCATGACAAGGGAAGTGTTTTACATTAGATACGATCAGGGTGAAGGCTGCGGTACTGACTGCTGTGGTGACGGATGACCATGTGTTCTAAACCTTCATGTTGTTACAGGGATGAGATTCACCTTGAGTTTGCCCCATGATGTTGGAGGTAAAGTTGTCCCTGCCAGACTGTCACGGTGTTTATCATTGTGTAGCTCAACACCTTTGTTGTCAACACCCAGGATTTGTGATTCATACATAACCCAACTCTGAGCAAAGTTTTGTTAATATGACATATGTCATGATTTTAACAATATTTATGTTCATGATATCCTTGTATTTCAGAAAACAGAAAATCGCTGGGTTAGATTCCTCGTCTTCTCGTTTCTTAACATCATTCAGTGATCCCAGCAAGGGTGGTGGTGACCGCCTGAAGCCCCCGCCATCTTGTATTGATACGAGTAGGAAGGTGATCAAGCTTGGATCAGGGTCTAAGTCGACCACACCAGGTTCCCCGACTAAATCAGTATCTCAAGATGATTCTACACTATCCAAGAAGATTGTGAAAATTACAATGTCTCCTACATCAGATTCTAAAGAAAAGAAGCCAAGTACAAATAGTACTATTAAGTTAATTAACAAACATTTGGAATGCCCAAGTCAGGGGAAGCTCTCAAAAGTGAAGGAGAACGGAGATGTTGAAATGAAGGATGTACAGGAGAGTATAAACAAGGTAACCATGGTTACATTGAATATATCAATACAAGTCCGATTCCACATACTATAACATATAGAATCCTCGAGCTCTTTCGCATCCATGTTTCCTCGGGTCATCTTGTGTTGTCATATTCCATAACAGACATGTTAAATATGTGAAGTCAGAGATAAATGCACAAGTGACTACGAAATCAGACAAATACATGGAATTCATTACAAACATGCTGTTATGATTCACAAAATATTTCTGGGATTCAAAAATTGAAAAGTTAGTTCTCAGTCTCAATGAAAAGGAAGAGGTTTTAAGTTTCTAAGTTATGTCTGCTTATTATCTATCTGCTCATTGTGACAGTCCCCGAGTTAGACGATGGATCAACAGTATTCCAAGTGGCAGAACCCTGTTTTCTAAACAGGACAATTCATTGACAATCTGTTAATTCTTTTTCATAGAGATCGTCCTTGGGGTACATATATGCATTTTCTGCGCTGAAAATGTCCTGTGACAGTTGTATCAATGTTTTAATAAAAATATTGTACAATAAATAAAATCTGTTTTATCTATTATACGGCCCCCACCTTGTGGAGTTACCTCCCTGCTACGCATGCGCAGCCAACCAGGTAAGCACCTAGGCCCGTATCATCATTCCTTCTGCTGTCACTCCATTGAACGGATGTGCCGTGTAGAGCTGAACTCCTTCCATAAAACGAAGTTAAAGAGAATAATGTCTGGGACACCACCACCTGTATGTATGGTCTTTATTTTGTCCTATGAACGGAACAGTAAGGCTTTGCGGTCGGTTGTCTCATAATTGTGACTTTGTATTAAATATTTTCCGCTAACTTTCCCGTGGTTTACGCACTTGTTGCTTTGCCATGGCGGGAAGTTTAGCGTGCCACGTGGTTGTCATATTGCGTTTTAACCAAGTATTTCTTCCCGTGGTCGCATTCACGTAATTTTCAATGTTTTGTATGTGTATATTTATGCTGCTGGCTCCGCTGTTAGCTACATGCTTGCGTGTTTGCTTTCAGGCGTTTTCCGGTTGTACTGTCTGCGGACAAAGTATACCCAGAGCAGACAAGCATGACAAGTGTCTCGTTTGTCTGGAGAAAGTCAGACATAATCCCGACATATGTGAACTCTGTATGGGCTTCTCCCCCCGAGCCCAGAAAAGAAGGGCTGCCGATTTCCTCTTTTATAGAGAAATGCGAGAGGCGGGAGGGGAACTGACCCAGGTCCCCCCGTCTAAAGCCAAAAAACAGGCAAAAAGGCTAAGTCGCGCAGTAAGGCGCGCCTTCTACTGCTCCCAGCGGTTTTGACATGTCCGTAATAACACAGCTTTTTCAGCAGCACATGGACTCAGTGAAGTCCCTTGTTCATGAGTCGGTTGGAGGTCTCCGGCAGGAGTTCCTCGCCCACTCTGAGCAGCAGGAGGTCCGGAGAGTCCTCCCTTGGTGGGATCGCCCGAGCCGGCTCGATCCTCGGCTACCCCCGGAGGCGTCTGTAGAGTCCGTTGCCTCTGGCCCGGTCGGATTCCTCGGGACCGAGTCCTCGCCCGCTACGCCCCATGAGAGGGAGGGTTCGCTCCCAGTCCCCTCTGGTTCACGGTGTTGGCGGGAGCTCCTTCCAGGGTCCGTTCCCTCTGGATTCCTGGGGTTCCGGTCCCTCACGCTGTCCCAGCCCTCTCGGGCTGCCGAGTCCATGGACGTTGGGGAGGTAGAGGAGCCGGAGGGCGCTTTCCGCTTGAGGGAGGCGGCAACGCTCTGAGGGAGGTGCGGCAAAGCATTGCTGAGTTTATCCAGGCGCAGGCGCTTGCCTACCAACCACTCAGTGCCCTACCAGGTGCAGGACGCGGTGGATCCCCCTCCTGGTTGGGACACTCCGGGTTGCCTCGGCTGAGTTCCGCCTGCCAGGCGCGCCCTTACCACTTTGGCAGCTAGCATAGCAGACCTTGCCTGGCCCTTCCTCCAGCCTGGGGAGGCGTTGCCCACTGCAGCTACCTCCTTCAAGGATTCTAAGGCCTTGTTGGAGGCAACCCTCTCAGCCTGGCTCCCAGCCTTTTCAAGGGCGCTGAGGTCTGCCCCTCGACCACTCCTTGCTAACCCTCTTGGCAGGCTGTCGCCATTAGGTCCGTCCCAACCAGCTCAAGCTACTCGGACCACTCACGCCTCTCTTACCACATCGCCCCAGTGGGAGGCCGCCTCTATTCCCTGCCGGAGGGGAAAGGCTACAAGCAACACTTGGGTGCTGGGGTCCACCGTCAGTGTCGGCCACCTACCACTGTGGAAGGGAGGCCCACCATAATTCACCGCCTCCGCATCCTGCCGTCCCTGGTGCAGGGCCGGTGCAGATAGGGGATTGCAGATCTCTTTTCTGGGCTGCAGATTTAGTCCGAGTATTGGAGTTTTTGCAAGCTCGTTTGGAAGAAGGCCTGGCGGCTTCGACCATTCGTGGCTACTCCACCACTATTTCCACCTTTCACACCCCTGTCGATGGTGCTCTTCTGGGGCAGCACCCTCTTGTACAAGCGCTTTCATTCCCCTGGTCCTCTCCCAGCTGGCACGGATCGGGTTCTACCTGCTGTCAGGCGAACCAGCCCACCTTGGGATTTGTCAATTGTGCTAGATTGGCTATCCGGTCCTACGTTCTCACGTCTATCGGCTATTTCCATTTAGTTGTTATCATGGAAGGCTGTATTTCTGGTGGCGGTAACATCTGGTGCAGACCCTGTCTCGCTTGCTTGTATCGGTCATTTGTGGTGCTTATCAGGCTAAGGGCAAGCCTCCCCCTGAGGGGTTGAAGGCTCACTCGGTCAGGGCAGTAGCCACGTCAAAAGCTTTTGCATCGGCACTACCCATTGAAGAGATATGCTCTGCCGCTCTTTGGAGCCGGCCTAGCACTTTTATCAGGCACTATCAGCTCGATACACATTCACGTGATCGTGCGAGCTTTGGCCATTCTGTTCTCTCCAGTGGACAGTGTCCTGCCACCCTGACCGAGTGAGTCTTGGTTATCTGGTTTTGTTGACGCTGCTTTCAATTGTGTTTTATTGATATGTCCGCTGCTGGGTGTAATACCTCCTTTCGATTCTCTACGGAGATTATAGTCGGTAGTGAGTGTTTTTTCCCCCCTACGGTGCTCTCTGATAGACCATAAGGTGGGTGGGGTTGTTTACGTTCGCACTCTGTGCGTTCTCTTATGCTTAACCTGCGAGGTCAACTCTCAGTACCTTTCCTCCCTGTCGGTTACCCTCCCATCATGCCTCTCGCGGAAGCTCAAAACGGGACATGTGACAAGTGCGTGATTGTGGCGTTAGTCACATTATTCTTTAATACAATTTGTGTGTTTTTGAGAATTCCCTCCTCCTCCGCCTCCGGCCTTACTGTTCTGTTCATAGGACATAAATAAAGACCATACATACAGGTGGTGGTGTCCCAGACATTATTCTCTTTAACCCAAGGAAGGAGTTCAGCTCTGACCGCGGCAATCCGTTCAATGGAGTGACAGCAGAAGGAATGATGATACGGGCCTAGGTGCTTACCTGGTTGGCTGCTCATGCGTAGCGGGAGGTAACTCCACGAGGTGGGGGCCGTATAATAGATAAAACAGATTTTATTTATTGTACAATATTTTTATTAAAACATTGATACAACTGTCACAGGACATTTTCAGCGCAGAAAATGCATATATGTACCCCAAGGACGACTCTCTTCAAAGAATTGAAAACCTCTTCAGGTTTGGTTAAATCCTCACTGTCAACAATTTATAAACACACAAAGTATGTGCCCAACTCTCACCTAGTATTTGTAGTTACGGTGTAATGTCTGTCACACGCATCCTATTCCACATGTTACAGAGCTGTGTTTGTCTGCAGGTGGTGCCGGACTTGCCACAAGAAACACCCAACAAAAAAATCAAGTTGAAGCGGATATCTTGGCCCTAGCAGTGTAGGTTGTATGTGTATCTTCCGGCTCCAGATGTCAGAACACAGACTATACGTACAGACCATGGTAAACAGTGCCATGGTTACACAATATAAGAAGTGTATACCTTGCTGAAGTTGTCATGGTTACACAATGAAAGAAGTTTGATGGTATACCCAGCTCCAGTTGTCATGATTACATAATGGAAGAAGTTTGATAGCATACTCAGCTCTAGTTGTCATGGTTACACAATGAAAGAAGTTTGATGGTATACCCAGCTTCAGTTGTCATGGTTACACAATGAAAGAAGTTTGGTATACCCAGCTCCAGTTGTCATGGTTACACAATGAAAGAAGTTTGATGGTAGTTTGATGGTTACCCAGCTCCAGTTGTCATGGTTACACAATAAAAGAAGTTTGATGGCATACCGAGCTCCAGTTGTCATGGTTACACAAGACTGGTTCCCGATGTTATGGTTACTAAGTTTGTACAGGTTTTGCAGCCACACAAACATAATGATGGTCCATCTTGATAGTGTTAATGTCTTCGATTTACACATGATGCCATCTCTGCGATAAACATCGGAGTTGACTGGCCCAAACTTCAGGTGGGAATATGACGGAGTGTATAATGTGTTGCATGCTGACATGTTGCATCTTTTTGCAAAAGATATGTGTGTGAAAGCAATAAATAACAAAGAAATATAAAACTAACAACTTTGTTGTAAATTTAAAAGTCAGTGATAGTATTTATAAACGTAGCAGCAAGTGGTCAAGGCTCCGAAAGCCTAGGCTTTCCAGAGTGAGAAGATGAGCTGCTCACCACTGATTTTGATGTAATGTGATATAATAGAGGCATACACTTAGCCCTATGCGTAGTACATTCTAGAAAGATATCAGTAATGTTTTATTAGTCTTAAGATTCAATAAGCATAATTATATAGTACCTCCCACACCACTGATTCCATTGATGTTAATACATTCCTGACAACTAGTTATTGTTATGACCTATTTATTACAAATACTTTCAGAAGACATCACCAAAACCATCGCAGACTTGTGGCAAATCAACTACTGAATCGTACAATGGAACACATGTCGTCAGTTCCCAATTGCGCAGATCGATGCTCACGCTGTTGATCACAGGATCGTCTGGTCCAGACTCAATTATTTACAGACCGCCGCCATATAGCTGGAATGTTGCTGAGTGCAGCGTAAAACTCAACTCACTCACTCTTAAAATGGAAAAATCAGCTTTCAAACAGTCACTGAAAAACCAAAACTTGAATTTGAACAGCTTCCTTTAGCATTAATAACTACAGGGCTGACATCTGAAACTTGTCAGAACTTGAGAACTAGCGTGACTTTTGTCTTTATTTGTGAGAGGAGTGAAGATTAACTACTTCCTGAGTTTCAACTCGATCACTGCTGTTTATGCAATACCTGCAACAGACACAGTATGTCCAATTCCATATTTACAATAAGTGACATTCTGTGTTGTGAAACCTAACACACCCAAATAGCATCCTATTCTTACAAAAATATTTTCAAACATCCCGTCCGATTGATCCGGTCTGGAGAAATCAAGTGCTAAGTAGAGTCCATGCTACTATCAAGGTCTGTAATCAGGCGTTATGTATACTAATAGCCTTATTGTCCACATTGACTGTAACATGTATACAGTGGGACCCCGGCTATCAGGAAACCTTACCATCTGGTCAATCTTCAGGAAAAAAACAATGTCTTACGTTATAAAAGTGACTGTCAAAAACGTCCATTTCCAGACGGTAAATTTTACAAATCAACCGGCTAAATAAAATTGACTCTCTTAACCGCACAAAGCCTTGATCTTCCGTTGACTGTGCGAAGTGAAGTGCAAGAGTCCCACGTGTCTTGACACAAGACAATGTCTGCTAATCCGGATTATTGACCGGTCAGCAGGGTATTGGTGGTGAGTAGTAGACCTATCTGACACGGAGTGAACCATTGAGTTCTAGCTGTTAAGTTGTTTATCGAGTCAAAGCGATAAAGTGCAGTGTGTTTATATTCAAGTCAGTTGTGAGGCATCCTTCAAATTAGCATTGGTTGTCTTTCAAAATTGATCCCCAATGGCCAGTCAACCTACTAAACGCAAACGCTATGCAGTGACAGCCAAGGAAAAGAAGAGATCTGTGTTTACAAAGAACAAAATCCCAAAGTAAGCTTAGTTAGCAAACATTTTCGACAGGTTTTTGGACATATGATTCGAAAGTCAACGATCGGCAACATAATCAAGCAAAAAGAAAAATGAAGAATGAGGACTATTTATATGGATATACAACTTCTTTATTCTGTATAGGCGACATAGATTCTAATGTCATAGGATCTATGTCAAAACATCGTCAATACAGAATGAAGAAGTTGTATATCCATAAAAAGTCCTCATTCCTCGTCTACCCAACTTCTAGAATGCCAATCAAAGAAGAAAAAGAAAAATGGCTTGACACACCAGGCAATTCTTCGGACCTATCCCGATCGAGAAATGGTCAACATCAGAAACTTGAAGAACCTCTTAATCTTGGCTTAGCGGTGTTTCAAGTCAAAATGTACTGGTAAATGATCAAATGCCACCAGAAAAGGCAAAAGAAATCGGGGAAAAGTTAAATGTTTTCGACTTCACGTATTCTCGGAATTGGCTGTCATGCTTTAAATCTCGCCATAACATTTCGAAAAAGAACTATCAAGGCAATGCTGCTAATGCAGATAAAGATGCAGTTATTAAGGGGAGGGTGGAGCTGAAGAAAGTTTTGGACAATTTTGACCATAATGACATTTTGAACACGGATGAGACTGGTCTGTTCTACAAGTTAGGTCCAAATTACACATTGGCTTAAAAACCAGTTCCGTGAAGGAAAAGATCCAAAGAAAGAGTAACTGTAGCTTTATGTGCTGGTTAAACAAGCTTAAGATGCAGTTAGCTTACTGCTTCTGCCACGTTGATATCCTGTCTCAACCAGACGAAGACCTGGTACTTTCTGAGCTTGTCGACGTTGACATCCAGGTTGAGACTGGCAAGGCTCTTGTCAGATGATTTAATCATCGACATGGTCACAAATAAAGAACATGGTCAGGCTCACTGACTTGGTTGACACATGTCATCGGTTCCCAATTGCACAGACCGATGCTCATGCTGTTGATCACTGGATTGTCTGGTCCAGACTCGATTATTTACAGACCGCCGCCATATATCTGGATGTTCAGTTATCCGGACGATTTACCCAAAAACAAATGTGTCCAGGTATCCAGGGTCTCACTGTGCAAATGTTATTACTGACACTGACAATAACTTAGATACAAATGTCCTTATTCTTGACATTAACTGCAGCATGTACAAATGTCCTTATTCTTGACTGCAGCATGTAGAAATGTCCTCATTCTTGACATTAACTGCAGAATGTACAAATGTCCTCATTCTTGCCATTAAATGCAGCATGTACAAATGTCCTCATTCTTGACATTAACTGCAGCATGTACAAATGTCCTCATAATCAATATTAACTGCATGTATGTGCTTGGTATGCAGGGGTATGATCCTCTAGTTGGACCAACATTGTGACAATTGATCAGGTGGTGCTTAATTAATGCTCGTACCTATATGTGTAACATCAAGTGAAAAACCATGTTACAATTCCAAGAAAAACATATTATGACACAAAGCATCACAACAAATTCATAGAATAATTTATTTTTGATATTGTTTTAATGCATACAAGCAGTAACAATGACGTATTGGAATCTGATATACAAGCATAACAACGTAAAATCTAAATGTACAACATTGTAGATAGAACGAGCTAAAACCAGATGGTTAGGATCACACATTACCATGGAAACCTTGGAAACACTTGCTGCAAGTGAGGAGAAACTTACAGGAGCAGAAAACCAGGAACTGCTTGTACAAGCTCAAACCCAGAAAACCAGGAACTGCTTGTACAAGCTCAAACCCAGAAAACCAGGAACTGCTTGTACAAGCTCAAACCCAGAAAACACTGACTGCTCAGTGACTAAGTTTTGTCATCTCATGGCATATTTCCTTTTGGTGGTCATCGAAACCTTGGAACATGATTCTAGGCATTGTCCAGAAGGACTGGACTTACACATAGAGAGGTGGAATCTGGAATAGTTTGCATGCATGAAGTGGAACACACACACTATAGTTTGATGATGCAGCTGGGTGCTGTAACTTACCAGCCACAAGCCAACACAACCAACACGACATCTGGACTTGAGTATACAATACATGAGGATCTACATAGATATCTGCATAGCACCGAGTGAAATGAGGGACAGAATGTAGGTGGAGCTTGATAAAATATAAACATATTGGGCAAACAGAAGACACACATGCGACAGTATACTAGGTGTGTTTCTCCTAGAAACACCATCTCTCTGTCAAACTGCAAGTATCAATGACAGGACCACTTCATTAAATTGACCAACACTCAACCTGAGGAAACAAATACTCAGCTCTGCCTTCCATGGTCGAGTCATGGCAGCGAGTGAAGGAGTTCCCGGGTTTGGTTAGTAATTCGGCAATACACCGACATGTTGGAATGAAGTGGGAGAAAAACCAGAAGGGTTGCAGGGGTTAGATATGTACCATTTTGTTAAAACCAACAGAAAGATTTGGTGCTGCCTACTTGGAAAGATAATCAGGGTAAATCTGGGACCCCGAGTCTTGCACACCAAAGGGAGGCAACTCTGCACAGAAGCTGGGTGCCCTGTAGTGAAAAATACACCTGAAAAATCTATTCTTTGGAATAAAAGCAACTTAAGTATATGATAATAAAACATCATAAAGCAACAATATAAAACATTCTAATGTTATGTACATGTGATAACTAATATATACAATACAGGAGGACATCAGATTCAGCAGATATATACATGTGTTAACTGACTTATAAACACAGATTCAGCAGATATATACATGTTAACTGACTTCTACACAGATTCAGCAGATATATACATGTGTTAACTGACTTCTACAAAAGACAAGTAGGACATGAGAGATTCAGCAACTGACAAAGATGTTGTTATTTCCCAGTGAACACGTGCCTCTATGGAGCAAGTAATACAAATGTAGGTATTCTGCAGATGGCCCTCAACATGTCAATTTTCTATTCTACATGATGATGTCATCGCTGTTGTGCAGTCACTGATAAAGCTGCCACAGACTCACTGACAGTGGTGATATCTGCCTCTGGTTTCTCAACTTCAAAGCCAGGCATGGCAGTACATGTCCACAAGTCTCACCATATCAGGGCCTTGCACAAGCAATGCAGTTTTAAAGACAATTTCTGTTGTTTCCACGATAGGTAAAGAAAACACATCACTGTTTCCTAAACTCTCTGATTGTGTCACATTCAGAATCATAAGAATTTTCCAAACAGCTGTTTCTTCTTCCTTAAGTGGCATTTAAACTGGTATGATGAAGTGGAACACTTTTTATGGATAGACAACTTCTTTGTTGCAGTAGTAGTTGCGACATCATTTGCTTGATAACGGTGTTACGATCTACACCGGAACATCGCAACTACTACTGCAACAAAAAAGTTGTCAATTTCTTGATAACGGTGTTAGGACCTACACCGGAACGTCGCAACTACTACTGCAACAAAGAAGTTGTCTATCCATAAAACGTGTTCCACTTCAGCTGTTGCTTCGTTCAAATTTGCCAAAGTAAATGGATAATTGCTTGTCTATTGCACGTAGAACATTGTGAAGACGCTCAATGTCACTCAACCACCATCAGTTGTAGACAGGTTGGAGAGAGAGAGTATAGCATCATTCACACAATATCATGGCAGGGAACGAAACACTGTACCCATCTCTTACACCAAGGACCAATTCTTACACCAAGGTTACCCAAATCCCCCTGACTTGCAGACAGGGTGGATCTAGCACCTGCTGGCTCCTGACACTGGATCCTTGTCTAGCACTCCGTTTGTGTCCCTTGGTGAGGATGGAGAGATGCATGCTGGGACTCCAGTGATGCTGAGAGTGGATCCAGCACCGAACTTCATTGGGATGTAGCCATCGATGTTAGCACCAAGAACACATGGGTCACCATCTGACAACAAAGGGGGGACAACTCCTACAACATTACACATCTGAATACACGTGATGCAAGACTAACCACTAACTGAGAATATCATGTTTTTATATTTAATGTTTATGAAAATACTTGGTCCAAATAACTCCCTAAATTTAAACACCCATCCTAAGTTGAGTGAGTGAGTGAATGAGTATGGTTTTACGCCACTTTTAGCAATATTCCAGCAATATAGCCGCGAGGGACACCAGAAATGTACTTCACACATTGTACCTATGTGGGGAATCCAATCTGGATCTTCAGCGTAACGAGGGGACGCTTTAACCATTAGACTACTCCACTGCCCCTCCTTAGCTGACCCTTGATGAAACGAATCAGTGTTTCTGTGTCGATATATAAACGAGGGACACATGTCTAACTGCTGCAGTATTTCAACAACCTGACCTCAGTCATGACCTGTAGGACAACTGGAAGAGTAACCCCAGTCGTTACCCGTAGGACGACTGGAAGAGTAACCCCAGTCGTGACCTGTAGAACGACTGGAAGAGTAACCCCAGTCGTTACCCGTAGGACGACTGGAAGAGTAACCCCAGTCGTGACCTGTAGGACGACTGGAAGAGTAACCCCAGTCATGACCTGTAGGTCGACTGGAAGAGTAACCCCAGTCGTTGACCCGTAGGACGACTGGAAGAGTAACCCCAGTCGTTACCCGTAGGACGACTGGAAGAGTAACCCCAGTCGAGACCTGTAGGACGACTGGAAGAGTAACCCCAGTCATGACCTGTAGTACAACTGGAAGAGTAACCCCAGTCATGACCTGTAGGACGACTGGAAGAGTAACCCCAGTCGAGACCTGTAGGACGACTGGAAGAGTAACCCCAGTCGAGACCTGTAGGACAACTGGAAGAGTAACCCCAGTCGAGACCTGTAGGACAACTGGAAGAGTAACCCCAGTCGAGACCTGTAGGACAACTGGAAGAGTAACCCCAGTCGATGACCTGTAGGACAACTGGAAGAGTAACCCCAGTCGAGACCTGTAGGACGACTGGAAGAGTAACCCCAGTCGTGACCTGTAGGACAACTGGAAGAGTAACCCCAGTGGTGACCTGTAGGACGAGTTGAAGAGAGGTCTGCTGTACTCACCCATGATAAGTTCGACTGTGGCGAGACCGAACGCTTGTTTGACAGGATCAAGTTGCAGTCGGCCTGAGTCCAGCAGGAATGACCTGGTCAGAGTGTGGCCATCAGATGTCTCATAGATAACCTTCACCTTCTCTGAGAGTCAAAATAACAAAATATACTTTCACAAGCATCAAAACAAGCCAATGACAAATCTATGGAAATCGACTTCAATAATACCTCCTGGTTGACGACACCGACATAAGTGCTTTAATCTACTTGACACAAACAGAATTTCTGCAGTCTAAACATTCTGAAACTTGTTACTCTAATATCAAACAAACTTTACGGAAATCGAAGACAAGCTCTGTTTGTTTGAAGTGAGTTTCAGTTAAAGTTTGAATGGTATTTCAGTCATATGAGTGTGGGTCACTTGACAGGAAAGCTTTTGGTCTTGTAAACAGAATACATTTTACCACTTTTGTTAAAGCAAAAATCAAGGAAGTACTCATTTGTTTTGAACTGGCCAGGGGAGATAACTCTCCACAGTTCCTGTGGTGCCTTTGATCATCCGGCAGCCAGTACACTTTGTTTACAAGCTAGCACAACTGATTTCAAAATGACACACAATGGACTCCCAAGAAGCAGTTGCACACTGAACAAGACTTACCTGGTTGCTCGGGACTCTGGTATTTGGTTGGGAATATACACGATGTGTTTTCTACAGCTCTACAACAGACAGGAGGGAAAATAATCACTTGCACATCATATAACATTCCCATCTTTAGACACTAGCTGTACCTACTGAAAACTCGATATATATCATGCTGTACCTACTGAAAATGTGTGGGTTTTTAGGGTTGCCCAGTGGCTAAAGTGTTGATCTCATGCCAGACGAGTTTAATTAACTCTGAAATACTGTAACTTGTGTTTCCCGTAACAGGTACCTGAACCAAAAAAACACTGTAGACCTGTGAAGATCCGGGGTAGAATAGATCTTCAGCAACCCATGCTTGCCACAAAAGGTGACTATGCTTGTTGTAAGAGGCGGCTAACGGGATCGGGTGGTCAGGCTCGCTAACTTGGTTGACACATGTCATCGGTTCCCAATTACGCAGATCGATGCTCATGCTGTTGATCACTGGATTGTCTGGTCCAGACTCGATTATTTACAGACCGCCGCCATATAGCTGGAATATTGCTGTGTGAGGCGTAAAACTAAACTCTCCCTCACTCACTCAACAAACCACTGTAACAAGGAAGAGATCAATACTTACTGAGATAACATATCTATTTTCTTCTGTAATGCAGCAATCTGATCTTTCTGAAAGACATCAACATAAATTATAAACCGACAGTGACGTCACTCTATTGTTCTTGCAAGGCAGTATTTCTAGACATATCCAGGGGGCATTACTTAAATATTGTCCCTCTGCCCCGGGATATTACTTAAATATTGTCCCTCTGCCCCGGGATATTACTTCAATATTACTTGTTTTGAAGATTGATATAACTTTGTCTTGCTATCACTGAATGCGATCGTAAAACATCACATTATTGAAAACTTCCAACATATAGTGCCGATATCTGGTTTCAAACCCGCAACCCTTCGCTCTCTAGCTTGGCGATTTTATCCATTAGGCTACGAAGGATCACTGTGAAGAATAAGATTGTTTGTCAGCATGAACCGTGTGTTCCTCAATAGACGGGTAGTGCGGGCAATGCACGTGCAGGACACGGGTAGCGCGTGCAGAACAGGTGCATTTCGCGTGCAAGGCAAGGTGTCGGCTGCCAGTCTCATCCTAGTTGATTTCAACAGTAAATACCAAATATTGAATCACACCTTGGATCCATTTAAAAGTTGGATATAACATGACCCGTGGGCATTATTGAACAGTAAGCCCTCTTCCCTTGGGATATGCCCACGGGTCATGTTATAACCTACACATCATAAATAACACCATGAAAAAAGACATTTTTCAGATTGTTGTTTACACAAGCTTGTCTGCAAGCGACAATTTCAGTTTCAAATGAGGTAAAATATTGAATGTCAGATACTCTAGAAAGCAATTTTTCAAGCAAGGATGTTGAAAAGGGATACAGTACCATCCCTTCAGCTTTCTAAAAGACTTGGACCTGGCTACTGACCTGTGAGTTGACAAGCAGCGCCAACTGGTCACAACCAGCTTGGTCTTGTGTGGGCACACTGTTGGAGTCCTCTACTACACAGACATCGTCCTGCTCCACTCTCCTCACACGACTCAGATCACTCGGCAAGTCCCGCTCAGCATTCATTGTCACATTTCTACAACCATTCACCTTCCTTCCATTGTCCACAGAATCAAAGAACTTATCCACATCAGAATTCTGGAATTTGGGAGTCTGACTTGAAAATTGCACTGTTTCTGTTTCAAGATTTTCTGCCTTTCCATTAGAACTAAGGTCCAGCACAAGTCTGTTGGTGTCTCCTCCATCTCTAGAAGACCGAGAGGAAGGGGCAACTGAGATCTTGATGTTACTTGTATCATGAGTAGCCACTGAAGGGGAGGTAACTCTGGACTTGGAGGGAGTTCTGCTTGGAAGGTTGGAACCACTCAGACTCTTGATCTTCTGTTCTTGTTGTTTAGTGTCAGACGTCAAGTTGCTGGGCATCACAGAGAAACTGTTACGAAGGTGAGATTTGTCTGAAATGTGAAGGAGTTATTGCCCTTCAACAGTGATAAAGGATGCATATTTAGTGAAAGGTACACCTATTATACCATGGAATCCCATGAGCCTGTGATACTGGGCAACTATTCTACCATGGAATCTCACAAGCCTCAGATACTAGGCACCTAGTCTACCAGTTTACAAACTTCAATTGAACCAAACATTCTTACATCTTCTCGTATCTATTTCTACAAACTACAAACTATTTCTACAGCTGCACCAACCAGTTTTAGATCACATCTTCATTTTCTTACCTAATTTGATTGGGAAGTATCTGATAAGTAGAGTAAACCTTGCTTCATTGGTGGACGAAGGAAACGCTGAATCTGAAATATCTCTCTGGCCTACCATCACCAGGACACCCGAGCTTGTCTGGGCGAAGATGGGAGGCAGTCTACAGGATCCCTTGGGCCGCTGGTGTTTCTCAAGTTGCTGTAAAACATCAACAACTAGAATGTGTTCAACTTAAAAAGAGAAATGTCTTCCCCTCCATTCTCTTGTTGCATTGGTTCAATTTGAGACTGCTAATGTATTTGCAAATAGGAAAAACAACAATAGCAACAAGCAGCAGGGGTGTGTAGGGTGTGGAGGGGGTGTGGGTGTGTGTGTGGGTGTGGAGGGGGTGGGTGTGTGGAGGGTGTGTGTGTGGGTGTGTGGAAGGATGGGTGTGTGGGTGTGTGGTGGGGTGGGTGTGCATTACCAGTCTTTCCTTTGAGTGCTGCCACTAGTAAAGAAAGGCTATTACAGAAAAAGACAAGACAGAATACTCACAATGTCTGAGACTTTGTGTAACTCTTCACCCAGGAAAGTAAAGATCTGCAACAGACTCTGGTTGTTGCCCCCAACGATGACAGAATTGGTCCGGGGCTGTGTGAAAACATTCAACAAATATTTACAACAGCAGAGTACGTTTGTCTGTTTGTTGCTTAAAGCCACATTCAGCAGTATTCCAGTGGCAGTCTGGAAATGATCAAGTATGGACCTGATAATCCAGTGATTAACAGCATGGCCATCGATCCATAAAATTGGGATACGATGATGTGTCAACCAAGTCAGGCAGCCTGACCATCCGATCCCGTTATACGACAAGCATGGGTTACTGAAGATCAATTCTAACCAGGATCATCACATGTATGCGAGTACACATGTACTAAGTAGGACCACCTGTAGCCAAACAGTTCTCAAAACACCAATCAGTTCATTTCTTGCTGTTTAATGCTGCACTTTGCACAGTTCTAGCTCCATGACTGAGGTCTGAAAATAATCACATCTAGACCAGATAATCCAGTGACTGGCATTGTTGACACTGACCTATACGGGTACAATGACCAAGCCTGACCACACAATGAATTTGGTCATATCACCTTGAATTGCCATATTAGTAACAAACCATCAAAATCTTAAAGACCTGCATATTTCCACAAATATCCACTGACCTCATGCGTAAGCACATCTGGCACAAGGACGCCCCTGACGTTGGTGCGACTGATGACACTAGGGTCCTGCAACTTGTCGTGGAGTCGAATCACCACCAACTGTGACGTATCCTGCACCAGGCTCTGCACATCACCATGGCAACACACATTAACTTCACAGCCATACTGATTTTACATGTTTTTAGTAGAATGAATAAGAACTTTTGACAAATATTTTTTCATATTAATATGTCTTTCTGAAATGTGAGGCATTCATGTTGTAGAATTTCAGTTTTGTTCAAGAAAGGCAGGTGGTGATGAAGAGGGCAGGTGGTGATGAAGAGGGCAGGTGGTGATGAGGAGGGCTGGTGGTGATGAGGAGGGCAGGTGGTGATAAAGTGGGCAGGTGGTGATGAGGAGGGCAGGTGGGTGATGAAGAGGGCAGGTGGTGATGAAGAGGCCAGGTGGTGATGAGGGCAGGTGGAGATGAAGAGGGCAGGTGGTGATGACGAGGGCAGGTGGTGATGAAGAGGCCAGGTGGTGATGAGGGCAGGTGGTGATGGTGGTGAGGGCAGGTGGTGATGAAGAGGGCAGGTGGTGAAGACGAGGGCAGGTGGTGATGAAGAGGGCAGGTGGAGATGAAGAGGCAGGTGGTGATGAAGAGGGCAGGAGGTGATGAAGAGGGCAGGTGGTGATGAAGAGGGCAGGTGGTGATGAAGAGGGCAGGTGGTGATGAAGAGGGCAGGTGGTGATGAAGAGGGCAGGTGGTGATGAGGAGGGCAGGTGGTGATGAAGAGGGCAGGTGGTGATGAAGAGGGCAGGTGGTGATGAAGAGGGCAGGTGGTGATGAAGAGGGCAGGTGGTGATGAAGAGGGCAGGTGGTGATGAAGACGGCAGGTGGTGATGAAGAGGGCAGGTGGTGATGAAGAGGGCAGGTGGTGATGAAGAGGGCAGGTGGTGAAGACGAGGGCGGTCACTGCTCATAAAGTTAAGGAACAGAAATCGTACATGATGATAGAGAACGCCTGATGTTCTCTCAGCACTTAACACATTGCTAGTTTGTTGTTGTGTAGAGCAATGAGTAATATTTCAGCTGTGTGCCAGCAATCAGTTAACCAAGTGACCAGTATTTGTTGTAATATTTCAGCTGTGTGCCAGCAATCAGTTAACCAAGTGACCAGTATTTGTTGTAATATTTCAGCTGTGTGCCAGCAATCAGTTAACCAAGTGACCAGTATTTGTTGTAATATTTCAGCTGTGTGCCAGCAATCAGTTAACCAAGTGACCAGTATTTGTTGTAATATTTCAGCTGTGTGCCAGCAATCAGTTAACCAAGTGACCAGTATTTGTTGTAATATTTCAGCTGTGTGCCAAAGCAATCAGTTAACCAAGCCAGTATTTGTTGTAAATCAGTTAAATCAGTTAACCAAGTGACCAGTATTTGTTGTAATATTTCAGCTGTGTGCCAGCAATCAGTTAACCAAGTGACCAGTATTTGTTGTAATATTTCAGCTGTGTGCCAGCAATCAGTTAACCAAGTGACCAGTATTTGTTGTAATATTTCAGCTGTGTCAGCCAGCAATCAGCTTAACCAAGTGACCAGTATTTGTTGTAATATTTCAGCTGTGTGCCAGCAATCAGTTAACAATCCAGTTTTGTTGTAATATTTCCTGTGCGCCAGCAATCAGTTACCAAGTGACCAGTATTTGTTGTAATATTTCAGCTGTGTGCCAGCAATCAGTTAACCAAGTGACCAATTTGTTGTAATATTTCAGCTGTGTGCCAGCAATCAGTTAACCAAGTGACCAGTTTTGTTGTAATATTTCAGCTGTGTGCCAGCAATCAGTTAACCAAGTGACCAGTATTTGTTGTAATATTTCAGCTGTGTGCCAGCAATCAGTTAACCAAGTGACCAGTATTTGTTGTAATATTTCAGCTGTGTGCCCAGCAATCAGTTAACCAAGTGACCAGTATTTGTTGTAATATTTCAGCTGTGTGCCAGCAATCAGTTAACCAAGTGACCAGTATTTGTTGTAATATTTCAGCTGTGTGCCAGCAATCAGTTAACCAAGTGACCAGTATTTGTTGTAATATTTCAGCTGTGTGCCAGCAATCAGTTAACCAAGTGACCAGTATTTGTTGTAATATTTCAGCTGTGTGCCAGCAATCAGTTAACCAAGTGACCAGTATTTGTTGTAATATTTCAAGCCAGTGTTGTAATATTTCAGCTGTGTGCCAGCAATCAGTTAACCAAGTGACCAGTATTTGTTGTAATATTTCAGCTGTGCGCCAGCAATCAGTTAACCAAGTGACCAGTATTTGTTGTAATATTTCAGCTGTGTGCCAGCAATCAGTTAACCAAGTGACCAGTATTTGACCACTGGTTCCATGACGTGAGCAGAGCTGGGGACCAACTGTGTAGCCTGGACTCCCTACAGCTGAAGGACAAGGCAACAGGGTCAATGACTGGTAGCGACTGTACAGTCAACACACACTACCTGTGGGTTTCTCTCCAGATTCAGGAGGCTGTCCTTGGCAGACACCTGGCTCCCTCTAGGGGCGATGACATCATCAGATCCATTTATGGCACGGTCTTCACTGGAGCTCACCACATCTGAAATTGTAGTTCACTGTTGACTCCATTGAAACATATGAGACTCCATCCGTCAGGGTTGTATATAGAGGCACGGTGTCCTGATGTATCATGGTGCAACACCACACCATACGGCAGTCGTACTCATGTAATCAGTCAAGTAAATCTGTATCAATATTCAGTCAGGAATGTTTACAAACTTGTACAATAATCCAGCACCAACTGCTGGAGAAGGTGTTACCAAGGTTACCTCACTATCTGTCATGGAAAGACTGGTTGAGACAAAACACAAATGTGCTGACCATATTGATAGTGACAACCTCTCGTCAACTGCATAACATGCAACATGAAGAAGGCAGTCAAACCGTGACGACTAGAGGGCTATTATCAACTAACCTTACAACATATAGAATGTACTATACACACTGAGTGAATACTGCACTATATCAGTTACAAATACTGCTCAAAAGAAGATAGGGAACACCACACGCTTTTCATTCTATTAACAATGGCCATGTACCATGGTATATTTGATGATATAAATATATAGAACGTCATACTAGTGCAGCTGGATGTTTTGTATTGAACAAGAAGATGTCATGGGAGCAGGGAAACAACGAAATGCTTTGAGTCCAATACAAAACATCCAAATGCCCTAGTATGATGTTCTATATTTATTACATACCCTCATATCTGCATTAATCGGAATGTGGGGTTCAATATGGAATGTGGGGTTCAATATGGAATGTGGGGTTCAATACGGAATGTGGGGTGCAATACGGAATGTGGGGTTCAATACGGAATGTGGGGAATGTGGGGTGCAATACGGAATGTGGGGTGCAATACGGAATGTGACCAGGTCATCCGTATTGCACCCCTGTATCACTATCCTAAGTTTCCATGGGTACATTACCTGGCACAACAAACATGTCCCGCTGTTTACACAGTGACTCTAGCGGCAACTCGGTCGCACTCATGGGTCGCACACACAAGGGAATCATGGGACAGGGACACGATGGAGGTGATGCTGCCGTCCAGGCTGCAACATAACAACAGCAGGTCTACATCGTCATCCTTGATATGAGCAACACAGGTGAGATAACGACTCCACACCTGAGAGCATTGTTGAGGATAAGACAAGGCACTCAGCAATATTCCAGGCATAAGTTGGCCTGTCCGTAACTGAACATAGTCAAGTCAATCCATGGCCTGACATCATGAGCAACACAGGTGAGATAACGACTCCACACCTGAGAGCATTGTTGAGGATAAGACAAGGCACTCAGCAATATTCCAGGCATAAGTTGGCCTGTCCGTAACTGAGTATAGTCAAGTCAATCCATGGCCTGACATCATGAGCAACAACATAAAATTACCAGAAAAAAACCAAACACCCAGTCTGCCCTCCTGATCTATAAAGTTTATAAAAACATACTGGATATATCTGAAGTATAACTTCTTAACATTCACAAAACAACCTTGTATCTAGCATAAAGCTGGTGCAATACTTTCATCAAACTGGCGTAGCTCTGACCTGTATAGATATCAGTAACAGATTCTGTTGTTACTTCATAAGTGGTGTCTGTAACTACAGTTCAGGACTGACTGATGCAATCTTCTGTCAGTATCAGTACAATTTGTCACATTTATAATTGACTTGAGGATGTATAATGGACAGTAACTTCAGAAAATGTTTTAAAACATTGGAATAACAATGAAAACTCATAAATGTATCCTGTGTTCATTGAATCCTTTGTCTATGAACATAGAGGGACGACGGTAGGCTATTATAAGTTGTCTTAAATACATACACCTGATCTTTGAGTATAGCTCTACTAGCAAAGGTAAACATAGGGAACACTGTTTTCCACAACAAATACATGGCCTAATTTTAACCTACATGGACATACTGGGTAATAAAGGAGCTCTACTCCCTGGGGCTTCCTGTTGTCTAAACACAGCAGTGAATTATGTACAGACAGTCCACATGTTCAAGTATGAATGGACGTTGACTGAAACATAAAATTCCAGCATTGACTTTTATTTGGGATGCTGTATGGCTGACTCAACAACACTCAATACACTGAGGGATTATTTACATTACAGCACAGCTGGTGGACGTGTGGCTCCAGTCTCCTGTTATGAGAATGTCTTGTATATCTATACATAATTCTGTATATATATTTATAAATCTGAAGTCATTCTAAAATATATTTACATTCCCTACAATACCTGTTCACCTTAACTGAGAAGCTATGCTTACCAGTGACCACTCTCCATTGTCTATAAGTAAGCTGGGGTAATGAAACAACGATGTTATATAATTGTAGCTTGGGTTTTTGACTTGTTCAAGCAAGGTAACACACACAGTGATCAGTGCCCAGGTCGGGAGTGAACTGAACGGATTGGCCATGTCGGCAAGTTTAAACTGTCTACTTGAATATGCCATGTCGGCATAGAGTGAATTTCATGTGAAGGATTCTATGTGTTATTATTCTGAGGAATGTGATGGAGCAGGAACAATTGTATATCCATGCGATAACCAAAGTAAGACTTTTAACATATACCATGATACTTGTTTTGCACATTTGTATATATGTATAGACTGCCAGTATTAAAACTATTTTAAATTGTTGTGTGATCTCTCCACTCGTAACACTCCTAACATAGCTATATGGATCAGTGCACCAGGCTACATTATCATGCTGTGAAATAACATTTTACAACAAAGAGTGCATCTCCCTCCAGGAATAATCGGGTATAGAGAATCCCCACCCTGGTGTACAGGGTACACAGTGAATCCCCACCCTGGTGTACTGGGTACACAGTGAATCCCCACCCTGGTGTACTGGGTACACAGTGAATCCCCACCCTGGTGTACAGGATACACAGTTAATCCCCACCCTGGTGTACAGGATACACAGTGAATCCCCACCCTGGTGTACAGGGTACACAGTGAATCCCCACCCTGGTGTACAGGGTACACAGTGAATCCCCACCCTGGTGTACTGGGTACACAGTGAATCCCCACCCTGGTGTACAGGGTACACAGTGAATCCCCACCCTGGTGTACAGGGTACACAGTGAATCCCCACCCTGGTGTACAGGGTACACAGTGAATCCCCACCCTGGTGTACAGGGTACACAGTGAATCCCCACCCTGGTGTACAGGGTACACAGTGAATCCCCACCCTGGTGTACAGGGTACACAGTGAATCCCCACCCTGGTGTACAGGGTACACAGTGAATCCCCACCCTGGTGTACAGGGTACACAGTGAATCCCACACCCTGGTGTACTGGGTACTTGGTACACAGTGAATCCCCACCCTGGTGTACTGGGTACACAGTGAATCCCCACCCTGGTGTACTGGGTACACAGTGAATCCCCACCCTGGTGTACAGGGTACACAGTGAATCCCCACCCTGGTGTACTGGGTACACAGTGAATCCCCACCCTGGTGTACAGGATACACAGTGAATCCCCACCCTGGTGTACAGGATACACAGTGAATCCCCACCCTGGTGTACAGGGTACACAGTGAATCCCCACCCTGGAGTACAGGATACACAGTGAATCCCCACCCTGGTGTACAGGGCAGTGAATCCCCACCCTGGTGTACAGGGTACACAGTGAATCCCCACCCTGGTGTACAGGGGTACACAGTGAATCCCCACCCTGGTGTACACAGGGTACACAGTGAATCCCCACCCTGGTGTACTGGGTACACAGTGAATCCCCACCCTGGTGTACTTGGGTACACAGTGAATCCCCACCCTGGTGTACTGGGTACACAGTGAATCCCCACCCCCTGGTGTACTGGGTACACAGTGTACAGGGTCCCCACCCTGGTGTACTTGGTACACAGTGAATCCCCACCCTGGTGTACTGGGTACACAGTGAATCCCCACCCTGGTGTACAGGGTACACAGTGAATCCCCACCCTGGTGTACAGGGATACACAGTGAATCCCCACCCTGGTGTACAGGATACACAGTGAATCCCCACCCTGGTGTACAGGGTACACAGTGAATCCCCACCCTGGTGTACAGGGTACACAGTGAATCCCCACCCTGGTGTACTGGGTACACAGTGAATCACCCCCACCCTGGTGTACAGGGTACACAGTGAATCCCCACCCTGGTGTACTTGGTACACAGTGAATCCCCAGCCTGGTGTGCTTGTACAGTGGGTACACAGTGAATCCCCCACCCTGGTGTACAGGGTACACAGTGAATCCCCACCCTGGTGTACAGGGGTACACAGTGAATCCCCACCCTGGTGTACAGGGAACACAGTGAATCCCCACCCTGGTGTACTGGGTGACACAGTGAATCCCCACCCTGGTGTACAGGGTACACAGTGAATCCCACCCTGGTGTACTGGGTACACAGTGAATCCCCACCCTGGTGTACAAGATACACAGTGAATCCCCACCCTGGTGTACTGGGTACACAGTGAATCCCCAACCCTGGTGTACAGGGTACACAGTGAATCCCCACCCTGGTGTACAGGGTACACAGTGAATCCCCACCCTGGTGTACAGGGTACACAGTGAATCCCCACCCTGGTGTACTGGGTACACAGTGAATCCCCACCCTGGTGTACTGGGTACACAGTGAATCCCCACCCTGGTGTACAGTGGGGTACACAGTGAATCCCCACCCTGGTGTACAGGATACACAGTGAATCCCCACCCTGGTGTACAGGGTACACAGTGAATCCCCACCCTGGTGTACTGGGTACACAGTGAATCCCCACCCTGGTGTACAGGGTACACAGTGAATCCCCACCCTGGTGTACAGGATACACAGTGAATCCCCACCCTGGTGTACAGGGTACACAGTGAATCCCCACCCTGGTGTACAGGGTACACAGTGAATCCCCACCCTGGTGTACTGGGTACACAGTGAATCCCCACCCTGGTGTACTGGGTACACAGTGAATCCCCACCCTGGTGTACAGGGTACACAGTGAATCCCCACCCTGGTGTACAGGGTACACAGTGAATCCCCACCCTGGTGTACTGGGTACACAGTGAATCCCCACCCTGGTGTACTGGGTACACAGTGAATCCCCACCCTGGTGTACTGGTGTACACAGTGAATCCCAAACCCTGGTGTACTGGGTACACAGTGAATCCCCACCCTGGTGTACTGGGTACACAGTGAATCCCCACCCTGGTGTACAGGGTACACAGTGAATCCCCACCCTGGTGTACTGGGTACACAGTGAATCCCCACCCTGGTGTACAGGATACACAGTGAATCCCCACCCTGGTGTATTGGTACATAGTGAATCCCCACCCTGGTGTATTGGTACATAATGAATCCCCACCCTAGTTTATGGTGCCTTACCCAGGAACCTTCCAGGCTGCTGGGGTGAAGTCAGATATTGAAGTCTCGATGTTTGGCCATATGTACACCTGAAACAAAAACATTTAATTAACACACCCAGATGTTAGGGACCCACTCTGCCCTTGAATCTCCACTAAAAAAACAAGCACTGTGATCTGGGACCCTACTCTTTCCTTGCATTCACACAGGGGAACAAGCACTGTGATCTGGGACCCTACTCTTTCCTTGAAACCCATACAGGGGAACAAGCACTGTGATCTGGGACCCTACTCTTTCCTTGAAACCCATACAGGGGAACAAGCACTGTGATCTGGGACCCTACTCTTTCCTTGAAACCCATACAGGGGAACAAGCACTGTGATCTGGGACCCTACTCTTTCCTTGAAACCCATACAGGGGAACAAGCACTGTGATCGGGGACCCTACTCTTTCCTTGAAACCTATACACAGGGAACAAGCACTGTGATCTGGGACCCTACTCTTTCCCTTGAAACCCATACAGGGGAACAAGCACTGTGATCGGGGACCCTACTCTTTCCTTGAAACCCATACAGGGGAACAAGCACTGTGATCTGGGACCCTACTCTTTCCTTGAAACCCATACAGGGGAACAAGCACTGTGATCGGGGACCCTACTCTTTCCTTGAAACCCATACAGGGGAACAAGCACTGTGATCGGGGACCCTACTCTTTCCTTGAAACCCATACAGGGGAACAAGCACTGTGATCGGGGACCCTACTCTTTCCTTGCATCCATACAGGGGAACAAGCACTGTGATCTGGGACCCTACTCTTTCCATTGCATCCATACAGGCGAACAAGCACTGGGTGCCTATAGACAACTGTTTGACTGATGATATAGTGGGCAGGTGCTTGAGTTCCATTACTCCGCATTTCAAGGGTGTTGACATTTTGTGTTGATGAAGCATAGTCTGTGAACGTTTACTGTTCATGTATTAATGTATTAATGACTTCTGTCATGTTGTTGTGTTTCTGTTTTCATGCTCATACTTCAGCAACTTTGGTTTCGCTGTCTTAGTATAGTACAGATTCTAGTACTTTGGGGGGGTCGAACAACAGGCACCACAACAGACGACTGTTTGCTGAAGACCTGAAGTAGTCTTACCAGCACCACGGTGCCCACACACAGCACCAGCCTCTGTCCATCCTCCGACCATGTACCGCAGGTGATTCTACCACTGAAATACAGATCCACCATATTAGGGGGTTTACAATATACCATCAACAACAGCATATTATCTTCCAGGAAGCACACTATGCCTGGGATGGTCAACACCTATTTACAGTTGATTTATGAATAGAAATCTGGCCAGGTTTCAAACAAATTCTAGATGATAATTGAAAGTAACCATACACAACATTAACAGGCAAACACTACATCAACTATGTCATCTAAACACTTACACAAATTTAATTTATGAAATGCTGAAATAACATAACTCTCCAACTCACAAATCATTCTACATGTATTCAAAATAACTGAGGTATTACTCACCGACTAGCGAAACTTACTTATTTTATTAACCTTGAACATACAAAGGTTAAGATAAATATTGACTTTATCACCATGCTGTGAGGAAATTGAATCTGAAAATGAGATCTAAATGTCCCGGTTACCCTACATATCATTTCTTTATCACAATTAATTGACAAAAGCTGTCAGACCGCACTCAATCATCAACATGATCAAGGTGCAGAGATCAGGGTGCAGGGGAGGAAATGAAACTATTGATGCAGATGCAGGTTCATGCTGTAGTTCACACACACAGTGCCTAGTGGGAGAGCCAAGGGTACAGTGGTACAGCTCAGGGTACAGTGGGAGAGCCAAGGGTACAGTGGTACAGCTCAGGGTACAGTGGGAGAGCCAAGGGTACAGTGGTACAGCTCAGGGTACAGTGGGAGAGCCAAGGGTACAGTGGTACAGCTCAGGGTACTGTGGGAGAGCCAAGGGTACAGTGGTACAGCTCAGGGTACAGTGGGAGAGCCAAGGGTACAGTGGTACAGCTCAGGGTACAGTGGGAGAGCCAAGGGTACAGTGGTACAGCTCAGGGTACAGTGGGCCAGACAGTGGTACAGCTCAAGGGTACAGTGGTACAGCTCAGGGTACAGTGGGAGAGCCAAGGGTACAGTGGTACAGCTCAGGGTACAGTGGGAGAGCCAAGGGTACAGTGGTACAGCTCAGGGTACAGTGGGAGAGCCAAGGGTACAGTGGTACAGCTCAGGGTACAGTGGGAGAGCCAAGGGTACAGTGGTACAGCTCAGGGTACAGTGGGAGAGCCAAGGGTACAGTGGTACAGCTCAGGGTACAGTGGGAGAGCCAAGGGTACAGTGGTACAGCTCAGGGTACAGTGGACAGTGGTACAGCTCAGGGTACAGTGGGAGAGCCAAGGGGTACAGTGGTACAGCTCAGGGTACAGTGGGAGAGCCAAGGGTACAGTGGTACAGCTCAGGGTACAGTGGGAGAGCCAAGGGTACAGTGGTACAGCTCAGGGTACAGTGGGAGAGCCAAGGGTACAGTGGTACAGCTCAGGGTACAGTGGGAGAGCCAAGGGTACAGTGGTACAGCTCAGGGTACAGTGGGAGAGCCAAGGGTACAGTGGGAGAGCTAAGGGTAGGGGTACAGCTCAGGGAACATTGGGAGAGATCAGGGTACAGTGGTACAGCGCAGGGTACAGTGGGAGAGCTCAGGGAACAGTGGTACAGCTCAGGGAACAGTGGTACAGCTCAGGGTACAGTGGTACAGCTCAGGGAACAGTGGGAGAGCCAAGGGTACAGTGGTACAGCTCAGGGTACAGTGGGAGAGCCAAGGGTACAATGGTACAGCTCAGGGTACAGTGGGAGAGCCCAGGGTACAGTGGTACAGCTCAGGGTATAGTGGAAGAACCAAAGGTACAGTGTTACAGCTCAGGGAACAGTGTTACAGCTCAGGGAACAGTGGGAGAGCTCAGGGAACAGTGGGAGAGCTCAGGGAACATTAGGAGAGCTCAGGCAACAGTGGTCCAGCTCAGGGGAACAGTGGTACAGCTCAGGGTACAGTGGGAGAGCTCAGGGAACAGTGGTACAGCTCAGGGTACAGTGGGAGAGCTCAGGGAACAGTGGTACAGCTCAGGGTACAGTGGGAGAGCTCAGGGAACAGTGGTACAGCTCAGGGTACAGTGGGAGAGCTCAGGGAACAGTGGTACAGCTCAGGGAACAGTGGTACAGCTCAGGGTACAGTGGGAGAGCTCAGGGAACAGTGGGAGAGCTCAAGGAACAGTGGTACAGCTCAGGGTACAGTGGTACAGCCCAGGGAACAGCCCAGGGAACAATGGTACAGATCAGGGAACTGGTTTAGCTCAGGGTACAGTGGTAGAGCTCAGGGGTACAGTGGTACAGCTCAGGGAACAGTGGTACAGCTCAGGGGAACATTGGGAGAGCTCAGGGGAACAGTCTGTACAGCTCAGGAGAGCAGTGGTACAGTGGGAGAGCTCAGGGAACAGTGGTAAAGCTCAGGGAACAGTGGTATAGCTCAGGGTACAGTGGGAGAGCTCAGGGAACAGTGGGAGAGCTCAGGGTACAGTGGGAGAGCTCAGGGAACAGTGGTACAGCCCAGGGAACAGTGGTACAGCTCAGGGAACAGTGGTACAGCTCAGGGTACAGTGGGAGAGCTCAGGGAACAGTGGGAGAGCTCAGGGAACAGTGGGAGAGCTCAGGGAACAGTGGTCCAGCTCAGGGAACAGTGGTCCAGCTCAGGGTACAGTGGTACAGCTCAGGGAACAGTGGTACAGCTCAGGGTACAGTGGTGCAGCCCAGGGAACAGCCCAGGGAACAATGGTACAGATCAGGGAACAGTGGTTCAGCTCAGGGTACAGTGGGAGAGCTCAGGGTACAGTGGGAGAGCTCAGGGTACAGTGGTACAGCTCAGGTACAGTGGGAGAGCTCAGGGTACAGTGGTACAGCTCATGGTACAGTGGGAGAGCTCATGGTACAGTGGGAGAGCTCATGGTACAGTGGTACAGCTCAGGGTGCAGTGGTACAGCCGAGGGTACAGTGGGAGAGCTCAGGGTGCAGTGTGTACAGCCGAGGGGTACAGTGGTACAACCGAGGGTGCAGTGGTACAGCTCAGGGTACAGTGGTACAGCCGAGGGTACACTGGTACAGCCCAGGGTGCAGTGGGAGAGCTCATGGTACAGTGGTACAGCTCAGGGTACAGTGGGAGAGCCAAGGGTACAGTGGGAGAGCTCAGGGTGCAGTGGGAGAGCTCAGGGTGCAGTGGGAGAGCTCATGGTACAGTGGTACAGCCCAGGGTACAGTGGGAGAGCCCAGGGTACAGTGGTACAGCCCAGGGTGCAGTGGTACAGTTGGGTTGACAAATGATGGGAGGGGTCATTAAGGGGTGGACAAAATGGAGTGACTTTCACCTCCAAAATGAACTCACCTTTCCAACTGAGGGAAGGCATAGCTGCTCTTGTTGTGAGTGTGTCGGAAGTAGAAGCTGCATTGTTGCTGACTCAGCAGACACAAGATGTCCTTCCTGGGGTGCCATAGACATCCTGCATCACGGAACACACAATATCATCTTTACTTCACAGTCTAATACCTGGGGTGCCATAGACATCCTGCATCACGGAACACACAATATCATCTTTACTTCAAAGTCTAATACCTGGTGTGCCATAGACATCCTGCATCAATGGAACACACAATATCATCTTTACTTCACAGTCTAATACCTGGGGTGCCATAGACATCCTGCATCACAGAACACACAATATCATCTTAACTTCACAGTCTAATACCACCACCATGTCACACAGTAGAATACCACCACCATGTCACACAGTCTAATACCACCATCATGTCACACAGTCTAATACCACCATCATGTCACACAGTCTAATACCACCATCATGTCACACAGTCTAATACCATCATGTCACACAGTCTAATACCACCATCATGTCACACAGTCTAATACCACCATCATGTCACACAGTAGAATACCACCATCATGTCACACAGTCTAATACCACCATCATGTCACACAGTCTAATACCACCATCATGTCACACAGTCTAATACCACCATCATGTCACACAGTTTAATACCACCATCATGTCACACAGTAGAATACCACCATCATGTCACACAGTCTAATACCACCATCATGTCACACAGTCTAATACCACCATCATGTCACACAGTCTAATACCATCATGTCACACAGTCTAATACCACCATCATGTCACAGTCTAATACCACCATCATGTCACACAGTAGAATACCACCATCATGTCACACAGTCTAATACCACCATCATGTCACACAGTTTAATACCACCATCATGTCACAGTCTAATACCACCATCATGTCACACAGTTTAATACCACCATCATGTCACACAGTAGAATACCACCATCATGTCACACAGTAGAATACCACCATCATGTCACACAGTCTAATACCACCATCATGTCACACAGTAGAATACCACCATTATGTCACACAGTAGAATACCACCATCACGCACAGTAGAATACCACCATCATGTCACACAGTCTAATACCACCATCATGTCACACAGTCTAATACCACCATCATGTCACACAGTTTAATACCACCATTATGTCACAGTAGAATACCACCATCATGTCACACAGTCTAATACCACCATCATGTCACACAGTCCAATACCACCATGTCACACAGTAGAATACCACTATACCATCATGTCACACAGTCTAATACCACCATCATGTCACACAGTCTAATACCACTATACCATCATGTCACACAGTCTAATACCACCATCATGTCACACAGTCTAATACCACTATACCATCATGTCACACAGTCTAATACCACCATCATGTCACACAGTCTAATACCACTATACCATCATGTCATACAGTCTAATACCACCATCATATCACACAGTCTAATACCACCATCATGTCACAGTCTAATACCACCATCATGTCACACAGTTTATCACCACCATCATGCCACACAGTAGAATACCATCATGTCACACAGTCTAATACCACCATCATGTCACACAGTCTTATAGCACCATCATGTCACACAGTAGAATACCACCATCATGTCACACAGTACACAGTCTTATCACCACCATCATGTCACACAGTCTAATACCACCATCATGTCACACAGTCTAATACCACCATCATGTCACACAGTCAATACCATCATGTCACACAGTAGAATACCACCATCATGTCACACAGTCTAATACCAACATCATGTCACACAGTAGAATACCACCATACCACAGTCTAATACCATCATGTCACACAGTAGAATACCACCATCATGTCACAGTCTAATACCACCATCATGTCACACAGTAGAATCACCACCATCATGTCACACAGTCTAATACCACCATCATGTCACACAGTCTAATACCACCATCATGTCAATACAGTCTAATACCACCATCATGTCACACAGTAGAATACCACCATCATGTCACACAGTCATCACAGTATACCACCATGTCATCTAATACCACATGTCTACACAGTAGAATACCACCATCATGTCACACAGTCTAATACCACCATCATGGCACACAGTCTAATACCACCATCATGTCACACAGTCTAATACTCACCACATCATGTCACACAGTAGAATACCACTATACCATCATGTCACACAGTCTAATACCACCATCATGTCACACAGTCTAATACCACCACTATACCATCATGTCACACAGTCTAATACCACCCATCATGTCACACAGTCTACACCAGTCACACAATACCACTATACCATCATGTCATACAGTCTAATACCACCATCATATCACACAGTCTAATACCACCATCATGTCACACAGTCTAATCACCACCATCATGTCACACAGTAGAATACCACCATCATGCCACACAGTAGAATACCATCATGTCACACAGTCTATCACCACCATCATGTCACACAGTAGAATACCACCATCATGTCACACAGTAGAATACCACCATCATGTCACACAGTAGAATACCACCGTCATGTCACACAGTAGAATACCACCATCATATCACAGTCTAATACCAACATCATGTCACACAGTAGAATACCACCATCATGTCACACAGTAGAATACCACCATCATGTCACACAGTAGAATACCACCATCATGTCACACAGTCTATCACCCACCATCATGTCACACAGTCTAATACCATCATGGCACACAGTCTAATACCACCATCATGTCACACAGTCTAATACCACCATCATGTCACACAGTCTAATACCACCATCATGTCACACAGTCTAATACCACCATCATGTCACAGTCTAATACCACCAACATGTCACACAGTCTCATACCACCATCATGTCACAGTCTAATACCACCACCATGTCACACAGTCTAATACCACCATCATGTCACACAGAGACTGCTGAGAGAGAGACAATTACATACACATGACAGTACACTAGAGTCTTGACAAACAACTGCTTGACAACTAGTGGTGTAACGTATCATCGATAGTATCAATGTTTGCATTGTCAACTACACGATACGAGTACATCAATACAAAACATATTTAGGCAATATATCAGGATATTTATATTGCGAGGGTCCATGATACATCGAAGTATCGCCACAAGAGACGATATATCCCAATACTACTTAAGTACTACTTAAAGGGGCACTGATCCAGAGCAATTTCTGTGGACTGGTTGTTACTTTTGTCGTTGTTTTTCTCCCGTGAGTACCCAGATGATATCCCAGAATTCTTGATGGGTTTGTGACCTCTGCTGCGCCATCTGCATGCTCAATTGGTAGTATAAGTATTCATTGATCAACAAAGATGAAATCTTTTTACTGGGTTTCCATCTTCATTATTATGAGGGGCGGTGGGGTAGCCTAGTGGTTAAAGCTTTGGCTCGTCACGCCGAAGACCCGGGTTCGATTCCCCACATGGGTACAATGTGTTAAGCCCATTTCTGGTGTCCCCCGCCGTGATATTGCTGGAATATTGCTAAAAGCGGCGTAAAACTAAACTCAGTCAGTCATTATTATGATAATAGATGAGAATATTTTGAAGTTTAACCATCTGCCAGTGGTAAAAACTGTTAGGACTGAAAAATAACGAAGTCAATGTAGTCTTTATATTTTGTCTTATGATTCTAATTAGTTACGTATCATATTTGTGTGCATTTTGAAGCTTAATAAAAAGCACACATTCTCCTTATACGTATCGTGAATTTATAACATGACTGTAATTTCTAGACATTTTATGGATTTCCATCGTGAATCATATTTCACAAACAAGCCCAAAGTGCGACCTAGTGTATGTTGTCTGTCACATTACACTTTGTGTCGAAAGAAAAATGATTCTGTTGAATGCCACAACAAATGAATGAAAACAAAATGCAAATATTAGAATTAAAACAAGACTAAAGTTATAGCAACAATGTCAGGCTATTACCTTGTTCGAGGAATGTATCCATCAATATATCCACATAAAGGAACGATATGCCATTTCGAGGAATGTATCCATCAATATATCCACATAAAGGAACGATATGCCATTTCGAGGAATGTATCCATCAATATATCCACATAAAGAAACGAAATGCCATTCATCTGCAGCTGACAAACAATCCTGTTCCATGTCATGTGTCTTAACAGTCTAGTATGCTAAAAGTGATATATCGCTTCAGGTTTTTCACAGTGGTGTATAGTCTCATTGGTCAGCCAAGGTAGAACACCTGACAACTAATTGCATGATGTCCACCATTCTTTAAAAAAGTAACTTAGTTAGCCAATAATGAGCAATCAATCAACATATTGGCGGTTAATCCTTGGAATAAAGAATGAGGATTATTTTTATGGATATACAACTTCTTTATTCTAGATAGGCGACATTTCGACATAGATTCTAATGTCGTCATTCTTTGAATGAAGGACGTTTTTACACAGACACATTAAGACAGGGGGTATTCAGTATAGATTAGTAAATCTAAATACATAAACACTACCTTTGATAAATCCGCTGTGCTAGATAAAAGTAATTAATCAATCAGAGTGTTATCGGTAAATTCTTTGATCGATGTTTGTTTATGTAACTCAGCTGATAATTCCTCTTGCTGCACTTCCATGTGCATATTACATAACATGTAATACATTTGTCACATCAGACCTTAATTTATAATGTTCAGTATTACTCCAGACACGAGAAATGCAAAATGGGAACTTTGTCAGGTAATCTGAGGGGTGTTACCTCTAATTATACCTGTTATAAATTCATTATAGTCCGTTTGGCTCAAAATCGGACCGATGAATTGCAATCTAGCTCGAAAACTACTAACATACAATACTCCATGAAACACTGATCATAATCAAAACATCAGACCAACTCTGTGATTTTTTTTGCGGAATTTATGCCCTAACAATAAAAAAGTAAAGTTGTAAGGAGTATTTCATTAGGAATAGGAGGGGAGTCTCTTTGAAATTCTTCTGAATTTCAAAAACAAACTGAACCTTATACGAATTTGTTTGTATCTGATATCTTTGTTACATGAACAAAGGAGTTAGTGTATAAGTGAAAGAGTGAGAACATTCAAACTCTGTGAACTGTAGAATACTTGTCTTCAAGTAATTGAAATATGTTTTAGTTAACAAATGACACCATTTATGCGAGAGAGAACAAAGATAGATAAAATTTAGAAAGCAGACTTTAGAGTTTTTTTCAGTGATTCCGAATTCAAATATAAATTACACTGAATTGTTTGTGAAAGCATTGGTATAGAAACACAACTTCAAGAGAAACTTCAGTTTCAAATCTACAGCTATTAGATCAAAGTATACTGTATACTTAGTATGTTTGACTGTACATTCTTTAGCATTAAATGCTGCAATTTTATGAGATCAACAGCTTTTGAAGTGTGTGTGAACGTAACACAAGTTCTGCTGTACTAGCCTATAACAATGTATCAGTCATTTCATCGATCATATCTGTTTTCAGAAAATGTAAAGTATCGGGATATGTATCATCGCCCTGCCAATACTTTCATGATATATCGTCTCGCCCCATCAAACTGGCATCGGGATATATCGTCTCATCACTTAGGCCACAATACACAGCTCTTACTGATAACATGGGAAAGTGCGGAGTACAGGGTACCTCCCACAGAATCCTACAAACGCCAAACTTTAAGTATGGCGTAGGCCAAAGTAACGATATCCAGATATCATAGTCTTCACTGAAGGCACTGATCAGGCCTGACTGGTCTGTGGTTCTAATTAAACTATCAAGTTATTAAAATCTTCATGAAATCCCTAGACAACTTTACCTTGGGGAATGGGCTGCACATTGAGTTTGCGGACTTGCTTGAATCCTAGTTTTGGAGCCAGCCCCGTGACTTTCCACACTGTGACGTTCTGCTTGTGGATGGCACACAGGAAGCTGGTGTCACTGTCCACGTCAACGCTCCAGTGCAGGCTTTGCACATTGCTGCCAACACAACAATAACGTCATGATTGAGTGAGTTAAGATTTAGAGTCACATCGGCAATATTGCAGCCATATCGTGACTATAACAATATATACTGTAATAATAATAGAGAATACCATCATGAAGAGTAGAGACTCTGTAAGGTAGTATACTAGTTTCAAGACGGTTTCCATAACAACAATGACAATAATACTATCAGTTTTCACAAATTCTTAACTAATCAGGTCTTCTGATGGCCAAGTGACAGCATTAATTTCCTGCCTTCAGGACATCATCATCATCATCCCGTGTCCACCCAATCCTCATTGTAGTCAGCTGAAAATGGAGTTTGTCACCTAAGAAGGCCAACTGAAGGCTCTTTCCTCATAAATGACTTTCATTGAACAGGTTCAACACTTCCCCATGTTCACAAGTATAAGTACAGTTTGACATAACAGTGTGACGTGGTTGAGTAGACACAGCTACTCATAGTTTGACTCCTGTCACTGGCACACTATCTCTGTTGCTACACCTAATAAAGAGTAACCATTGTGCATCGACTTTCCTGACATCCGTCTGTTTGGGAAGCAATTTGTTTCACTAATAGGGTCTCCTAGCTGAAAATGCTGTTCACTTAACCAGGAAATACCAGGAAATACCCTTTACGTACCCTAAAGTTGTTGCCTTCACAAACAAACATATCAAACAGTTTAGGGAGAATATCATTGGAACCAAAGGAAACCCAGCAACTAAGTGAGACTGTGTTCTACTTGTTACTGGTAAAACACACCTTGCATGGACACAACAAGATCTGCAATAATGCAGTGTCACCACAAAATCCCTGTCTCAAGGCTTTCTCACGTGGTCAATGTGACCTGTAATCCTCTTTGTCTAAACCCGGGATTTTCAACATACTAAAAAGCTTGCCATGCTAAATGTGGTTACATTGTAAACATGATAAAAGTACATCAGGTTACATGTTAAACATGATACATACATCAGCTTACGTCTTAAACATGATACATACAACAGGTTAACTTTTAAACATGATCATGATCACCTTTTAAACGATACGTCAGGTTAACTTTGAACATCATCAATGTACATCAGGTTACCACTTAAACATGATCAAAAAGTATAAAAAAACAAATTCTCACAAAGTAAATGAAGCATTGAGGATAAACTGCTAAAAACTGCTTCCAATGAATTGTAGGGAAAATTAATCAACGCCAGTGTAAGACGAAGTAATGCCTGATATTTACTTGAAGATATCAGACACTGACAGAGATGTTTAATCTCAAACGTACATGTGCTAAATATTTCCATTTGCTAAGGGCAGGACAGGAAAACTATGCATATTGTCTAGCCTGCTGGTTGACAAAACACATACTTTTCCAACTATCATGATTTAATTGATTTCTGGGACATGATCTGTCACATGTTTCACAAAATGTCACAACCACCGCTTGACACAACACCGCAGCCAGCAGCCAGCAGCCAGTGTCAGTCATCCTGTGTCAGTCATCCTGTGGCTGTGGCTGCAGTGCAACAGGTGTACAGAGGCTGGCCCAGCCAGACTGATTGCTTTGACAGCAGGGATTGGGATAGAGAACTTTCACAATGGGCCATTTTCAGGATTATTAGCCATTTTCTGAATTTAGAATGGGCCACTGCCCTTGTATCAATAGTAAACTTCAAAATTTTAATGGGCCATTTTTATTCAAATGTGCAAAAATGGCCCATGGCCCCTGCCTTTCCCAATCCCTGAGACAGTATCCAGGGTCCCCATCCACAAAATATTCATAGTGCTACGACCTTTGTAAACTTATGATAAACTATAGAGTTATGACAGATCGTAGCTTAAAGTTCACATGCGACCAAAAAATCAAACATAATTAAAACACAATTATCACTTATTCATGACATATAATATACATTGCTGGTTATGAAAAAACATATAAACAAAATTATAAGCGTACAATCGCAAATCAAAAGTGCAATATTGTGTACTTGGGTTCACTTTCCAAGAAACGAAGCAGCCGGGATACCGAACCCAGTCAGAGCGGGTGGGTGTGCACTCAAGTGTAACGGCTGGTTCATTTGCAGATGCCTTCACAGCTCATTGTGTGTGTGTATATATAGAGATGTTGGGTTGTGTAAATACATGCTCACTTTTTGTGTATAACATTTTGCCATCAACAGACATCATAACATGTCATGTGTTCAAGTATCACACCTGCCTGTCTGTGTAATTACATAATGTGACAGAGACCAAACTCGGGCCATAAATCAATGCATTTTGTTTATGGTGTATAGACTGATAGGTGTTAAGTTCAAATTGCATGTGGTCAGTGATTGCAGTTGTGTATTGAATATTGTCATTAGCAGACAGGCAGGCAGACACACAGGTGTCAATAAAACAAGACACTGAGTTTTGTCTGTGACAACGACATATCTATATCACAGTTAGAAATTCTGTCAATGCTAAATAATGACATTGCTTTTAAGCATCGAACTGAGAAAGTGACTCGGTAAGAAGAACGTGTGGTGAAATAGACAAATGAAATTATATAAACAGTTAATCTACTGTCATAACATATAAAAAGCTTGCGCCTGTGAAATATCAACAAAAAATAAGAAAAATAGCTCACACCAAAGCCTTCACCGAGTATTCACCGGACAACCCGCTTCCAAGCTGCGCTGAACCTATTTCACTTGCGCACGTACTATGAGCGCAGCCCAGCTGTTGAAACCACTTGAATTCCCCCCAAACGCTGGGGAAAATTAGTGAATCGTTTGAACTACAATTTCGCACGGCTTTTTTTATCACGTTATTTTTCAACTTTATAAGTTGAATTTGCATTTTTGATGATTTGTTTCGGTAAGTCCATAACGAAAGGTATCAGAATCTGCAAAGTTGTGTTTTACGTTGCATGTGACCTTTAACGAACGTTTTGTGGATCGAGACCAAGTCTCCTGGATAATGTATCAGCTACTTGGTACAACAAATATAGACTGTACCCAGTCTCCTAACTGAAGTATTACTACAGCGCTATTTCCAAACAAATCTGAAGTACAAAGGCTACTGGGGAACGTAGCTTGAAACCAGAAAAAGGTAGTAATGAAAACCGTGAAATACCATCATCCTTACGTGGCAAACCCCAGCTGAACCTAGATGTTTGATCTCTGGTTTGAAGATTAATTCAGAAGCTTCCTCATGCAGCTTAAAGTCACACATGCCTTAACCTCACACATCCCACTAATATTTTCAAGTCCAATTTTTTATCTGACAGGAAAAGATTCAAAATTACTTTTTTCAGTCATTAAATTTTACTTCCATATAAGCTAAGAATCTTCCAACGAAGATTATGGTCCCAATAGCTGGACCTGCTGATCATAACATCTACCATCTGACTGCTTGTCCCTGACGAGACAGCTAACATGCTGCCTTGATACAGCTGTACATAGACCACTCACTGACAAGCTGCCACAATACAGCTGTACATAGACCACTGACAGACAAGCTGCCACAATACAGCTGTACATAGACCACTGACAGACAAGCTGCCACAATACAGCTGTACATAGACAACCATTGTCAGACAAGCTGCCACAATACAGCTGTACATAGACCACTGACCAACTGACAGGTTGCCTCATCAGACAAGCTGCCACAATACAGCTGTACATAGACCACTGACAGACAAGCTGCCACAATACAGCTGTACATAGACCACTGTCAGACAAGCTGCCACAATACAGCTGTACATAGACCACTGACAGACAAGCTGCCACAATACAGCTGTACATAGACCACTGTCAGACAAGCTGCCACAATACAGCTGTACATAGACCACTGACAGACAAGCTGCCACAATACAGCTGTACATAGACCACTGTCAGACAAGCTGCCACAATACAGCTGTACATAGACCACTGACAGACAAGCTGCCATGATACAGCTGTACATAGACCACTGACAGACAAGCTGCCACAATACAGCTGTACATAGACCACTGTCAGACAAGCTGCCACAATACAGCTGTACATAGACAACTGACAGACAAGCTGCCATGATACAGCTGTACAGAGACCACTGTCAGACAAGCTGCCATGATACAGCTGTACAAGACCACTGACAGACAAGCTGCCATGATACAGCTGTACACAGACCACTGACAGACAAGCTGCCACAATACAGCTGTACATAGACCACTGACAGACAAGCTGACACAATACAGCTGTACATAGACCACTGTCAGACAAGCTGCCATGATACAGCTGTACATAGACAACTGACAGACAAGATGCCACAATACAGCTGTACATAGACCACTGTCAGACAAGCTGCCATGATACAGCTGTACATAGACCACTGACAGACAAGCTGCCACAATACAGCTGTACATAGACCACTGACCACTGCTACACTTGAGCTGGATACTGATGGCTGATGATAAGTCTTGGTGGGTGTACTTACTCACTTCTATAACTATAGTTACCACGGCTACATGCCCAGCAAGTCAACAAAGCTTGTGTATATAGAAGCTGATCCTGTGCACTAACAAGGGTACTTGCCTGCACACAATAGTGCAGTCAGTAGATGTTTGTGCAACACCTTGATATAATTGGGCAGGTGTGTTTTCTCACACAGGTGTGGACCTCTTTATAGCAGAGCCAGGTAATGATGTACCTTCTGTACATGATGCACACAGACCGATGCACACGGAACCAAAGCATAACGTAAACTATCACAGAAACTGCATATCTCTCCGCTACTGGGTCAAATGAATGTTTGACCACCAAAAGCATAAATGAAATGGATAAGTATTTTGATTTGTAAAATATTTTCTTTTTTTATCATTACTCCATACTTATTTCTAGAGGATACAGAAGTTTACTTGGTCAAGTGTGTATTTAAACAGGGAAGTCAGTCAAGGGTTTTCTGTACATCAACAAGTTCCTTATATGCATGCCTGCAATGGGGCCCTTACATCTCTGATCATCGGGATGCTGCTCACAGCACTGACCACTGGTAAGTCTCATCCAGACTTCAACATCTGCAGGCTCCCTTGATATGGCTGGAATGCTGTTTAAGTTTTTGTCACTGTAGTCTGCAAACTATACTGTATCACGGTCTTGTGAAAGGATTTATCAATGATAATGTCTATACAAAGACGACTGGCTGGATGACTAATGATAAGTAGACATGGTGAAGTTTTCACACGGAGTAAGCTCCCCTGAAACCTGCAGTCATCAACCTTAATAATTTCAGTTGTAGCATGTTTAAACAGAACTGCATGTTTTGCAGGTTGTGCAGTCAAACAAACAACTCTGTACCCTACAGAGTCAATCTACTCTCAGGCAGTCTCTGGGAGTCATGGTGAGGTTGCCATTTCTACAAATATCCAACACCACATTCTGATACAATCTCATTACTTTCTCTTAAACTTAGATCACGGTAACAAGCTTACTTGAACTTGCAAATATTGTAGCTGGAAACATTTTAAAGTGGGCAAGTAAACTTGAATGAGTTTGTCTAAAGATTTACCATGCTGGTGTCGGCAACAGACAAATAGATCTGTTTAATGTGGACACAACCAGCTCTCTGTGACATGGTGGGCAGAGGAGACATAGGCCAGCAGACAAGATGAATATTGATTGTTCACTTTTTAAGGCAAGGTAAACACAGGGCAGCTTGATCCTCATCTGGCTCAAGCAGCTCCCACACTGACAGCTTCTAATTGCCTGTCACTCCGGATCAGGCAACCTGGTAAATTCATCACAACCAACTTGCCATGAACTGCCCCAGGTGAACAAGGTGAAACTAACAGAAGGCGTTCTTCACGGCCTGGGTGGTCAAGGAAACATACAGAATTTGTTGTTTTTATCAGTATTGGTACATATAGATCTGGAATGAAATAAGCATCATTTTATCATAGTCCTTCTTCTACATGAAATGCAGCGGCAAGCTTGATGTGTCACAAAGTATGTGAACTTGTATATCAACAATAAAGACTTATCTACACAACAGCCATGTTTGAAAACATTGTCAACCTCTTGAACGCACCCTGTCTCTAATCCCAGCACTGTGTGGGTGTGGTGCTTGAAACACATCAGGTCAACTGGGATTTGAAAACCTGATCATAGTTATGTGACAACAGATAACAGCAGCATCTTTCACCACTGGGCTATATGTACCTCCTTAGTAATCTTACATTAGAGGTGTGCGTGCGTGCGTGAGTCAGTCATGGAGATATGTTCTTTATGTTGTCATATGCAACAGAATGATAACCACTTGTCAGCCATTAACATACAACACTGTATACCTGACCACTAGTATCATATTTGCTGTGTATTTCAAGATAGGGACATCAAGATACATTCAACTTAAGAAAGTTTGACTCCAATGACTCATTTAAACACCACTTCACTTGCCCAAACTCAAACATCATGGCGTTGACCAACCTAGCAACCAATACCATTACCACAGAGAAACAATGTGTCACTGTCACAAAAACACGACACTTCCACATCTAGAAACTGGCCCAAGATGTTTGAACCTCGTCTCCTTTAACACTTGACTCTTTCCGGCAAATTTAAAATGAGTTCACCAAATACAATAAAGGTTACAGATAACCCTGTCAACAAAGTTATAAATAATTACCCTCTATACACAGAGACAATGTGTCCAGACAATGACTACAATGCCATGTCTTGACCTGGTCAGAAACACTGGATGCCATGAATTGTCTCCCTTTAATACTTGCTAGCCATAGCATATGTATTCAGCTTTTCATTCTATCTAAACTTAAGAAATCAGAATAGATGACTTAATGTTTGCCCCCATACTGTGTACTGGCCAACAGCGATCAGTCAGACCTAGGTTACAATGAACGGGAGGGATGTCACTTTAAATACAATCCCAACAAAGTCCCCAGGATGCCTTTAGCTGCCACAAGTCACTCCCCTTATTACAATGTGCAGGTTTCACACAATCACATATTCAATATGTAGACCCAACCCTGGCCCAAAATGGCTGACCTCTGTCTCTGTTCAATATTTGCCTGTTTTCTGCCAACTGTAAATGAATTGCCCAAGTAGTATGTTAACCCTAGTCCCATGCTGTGACCAGTCATCAATGTCTCAATAGGAAATACTTGGGAGGAATGTCCTACTGGATGCATTTCATGTAGACTCCAGACAAACATGCCTACCCCTTCTGTCTATATACATTCAGTCTACGTCCACGAGGGAAGTCATTCATGCATGGTAATCATAGTAATAGATAAAAGATCATCATAAAAAAAGTATTTATTCTGCAGAAAGTTCAAATAAAGTATTAAAAGCTCCAATAAACATCACAGGTATTTGTGCAGCGATGACTGCCATGGATGTCAACAGTGAGTACACAGCCGAACACTGCCGTTATCCACGACGTACATGACTCATGGGTATCAGTATTACAGCTGCGATATACCATCTCCGTACACCCCTCGGCATGCTGGGTACACACAACACAGCTAAGACACTAGTATAGCGGCTGTCACAGTCGGTGGACGCTTCACTGATCACAAGACAGACCGGATATATAGGTTTCAATAGTATGTCAGCAGCTGAGGGAGAGAAAGGGTGAGCTTGAGCGTAACAACACACCTTCCTTGCAGCAGCTTGAATAACTAAAAGTAACACCCCATCTGTAGTGCTCAACTGGATCCCACTACAAGTTAGTACAACACATGGAGACAAGCAAGTGAACATCGGTCTGAGTGGGTGGGTGAGTGAGTGTGTGGGTGAGAGTGAGAGTGAGTGAGTGAGTGAGTGAGTGAGTGAGTGAATGGGTGTGAGTGGATGGGTGAGTGGGTGGCTGGGTGGGTTTTGGGTGGGTGAGCAACTGTTTACAGATCTAGGTCCACAAGTCCACACTGTCTACAAGGTACAGATGTAGATAAGAGGTCTAAGATGTCTGGAGCGTGAAACTAACAACAAATCATTAACTTGATAAATATCTTCATATCAAAGTTAAGTCAATATATTTGTGTTTGCAGTAATTTTATAGTTCAAAATATTGTTTCTCCAAAACACATACTCAAATTCTCCAAGCTTGAGAGACTTGGCGTTGTCGATGTTGTTGCCATACAGTCGGACAGGTGCTAGGTAGATGGCCTTCCCGTCTGTCCACACCAACCCATGTCGCGGATGGATACCTGCAACACGGCAACAGTAAACTCAAGTTAGGTTGTTGTAGCCATGGTAACCCCAAAATGTACAGGGAATGTCCATGCCTGTCTTCGTAACATCTTTCATACTTTGTTCCGGTACTGACTCACGGAACTAGAGATCACACTTGGCACAACACAATGTGGAAGTCCTGCATGTCCTTAGTTTGAATGTTCCAACAAGACTGAGATACTCGTATCCCCTACCAATGGCAACTTATTCCCACATGTACTGAAGCATAAGCAACAAAGAATCAAACCCAGTACAATCCACAGCAAGTTGACAGGATGCACCTCCTAGCAACCAATGTAGGATGCTGCTTCTATTGCTGGGAGCAGTGGTCATCACTGGATACACTGAGCTTTTTTATTTGTTTTTGATGGAATTACACAAAAACATTAATTATAAAACTTTCAAAATTATGAAGATATTGAGTCAATCACTTGACTGATTTGATAGAAAATACAACTGGTTTGTGAGTGTCATGGTTTGAATTCATGGTCATGCATTGAGAATGATGAAAACCTACAATGCAAATATTTCATAAATAGCAAATGGCACCAGTTATGGCTACATTGTTATCTGCATAATAAACATATAAACTGCATATATAAACTTTGATGAAGAACATCGAACACTCTTTGAGTGATGCTTTGGAACCTGCACCTGAACCTTTGTTCAATATGTAGTCACACAAACTGGAAAAAATATAAACTTCAGAATTCCACAATGGCAAAAATTCCCATTTTGAAAATACTTTTTTTTTTTCATTTTATGCTCCTGCAAATAAGTGGCATGGACAAAAGGCAGCACTCATACCCTCAGCTCCCTAGCACTTTGTGACACAAACAGCAAACCTATGTACCACATTTCAAACACTGACCATTAAACAATCATGGATTACACACTCTAATACCAAAATCATCCAACCATTTTACAATTCACAAGCAATCTTTCATGATCACCTTGTCAACCAGTCATCACTCCATTGGGGCGATGGATCCAATGATGGGATTTTAAACCACAGACCTTTAGATCTAAGGTAATACAAACTGAGAGGCAAGGGTGTCATCTTCCACCTCTCCCACTCCACCTACCTCTCCCACTCCACCTCCCCCTCCCCCCATCCGGTCTCAGTCCTGTGTGGAAGTGGGAGACATACAGGTGGTTGTTCAAGGTGACATGGTGACATGGTGACATGACAAGATGACAGCACCACGATGCAGCATTCAGGCCAAGTCATGTTTATGTCACCCTTACACTAACAACAACTACACTGTCCTTCTGGAGATGCTTGTCAGAGTGGAGTGAGTGAGTGAGTGGTACACAGGTGCATATTTATCACATGGGTCTGCCACCATTTTGTGTCCACACAGAAACACTGACCTAGAAATCTCATAAATCTTCTCAAAACATCTTACAATCTTCACAGAACCTTACAATCTTCACAGAATACCTTACAATCTTCACAGACTATCTTTCAATCTTCACAGAGTACCTTACAATCTTCACAGACTACCTTACAAACTTCAAAAAATATCTTACAATCATCCAATCTTCACAGAATACCTTACAATCTTCACAGAATACAATCTTAACAGACTACCTTACAATCTTCACAGAATATCTTACAATCTTCACAGAATACCTTACAATCTTCACAGAATACAATCTTCACAGAATACAATCTTAACAGACTACCTTACAATCTTCACAGAATATCTTACAATCTTCACAGAGTACCTTACAATCTTAACAGAATATCTGAAATGGCATTTTGGAACCTCAAGAATCAATGAAGACAAACTTGACTTGTGAATCATTGAATGTGAACTTCTATATTATCTCAATGCAATGTTTGGAACTGTTGCTTCTTCTATTGCTGACTTCAAGCGAGTGACAGAATATTATTCAACTACACATTTCTCCCTGGCTTTATTTATTTCCAAATGAATAATACTAAGATTCTAACAATTGTTTATAGACATTATTCCTTTTTATTTTGAACCATAAAAAAGAATCTTCTAGCCACTAAAGAGGACACTCACAAGAGGACAAGTTCTTAGAATATCAACCAATGCATTGTATTGTACATTTCTAAAACATTGGATGTTAGCATTAAATTTCATGTGACCATATTTGGTATCCAGTTAATTATGGTCAATTAATTCTATTCTAGTCCTTAAAAACCTAAGCTGTTAACTTGCACCTTGTTGTACATCAACCCAATGGTGGGTAATAACTGGCCATACTGCACAGGTCCAATGTCACCGAGAAACAGATATTCATAACTAGCCATCGAACTGCACCATGGTAAATAGTTTATCACACATGTATTGCTCCTGATCACAAGATGACCTGCCTGGAAATATTCACAATAACATATGCAAGGGAAATCTGTCCACAGATGAGTGAATGTGTTATGACAACTAAACCAACAGCTTTGTCATGGTAGGCCTCCCAAACCTCCAGTGAGCCTTCATAACAGTTCTCATTTAAACCTGTCAAAAATATTCTCATAATAAAACACACAAAATAAATGTTTCTGTCCTGAGGCCTGGAATATATGAATATATCAGCTGTTGATGACTCAGCAGTTCTTCCCCATAGCTTCTGTGTCACACTGCCTGTGGTGAAGCATGAGTGAGTGAGTCTTTGTCATTGTCACACTGCCTGTGGTGATTGAGTGAGTGAGTCTACGTCATACTGCCTGTGGTGAGTGAGTCTAAGTCATACTGAGTGTGATCTACCATGAGTGAGTGAGTATGTCATTCTGCCTGTGGCAAAGCATGAGTGAGTTAGTCTATGTCACACTGCCTGTAGTGAGTGAGTGAGTGAGTATGTCATTCTGCCTGTGGCGAAGCATGATTGAGTGAGTCTATGTCACACTGCCTGTGGTCTAGCTAGAGTCAGTCGGTCTAAGTAACACTGCCTGTGGTCTAGCATGAGTCAGTTGGTCTAAGTAACACTGCCTGTGGTCTAGCATGAGTCAGTCGGTCTAAGTAACACTGCCTGTGGTCTAGCATGAGTCAGTTGGTCTAAGTAACACTGTCTGTGGTCTAGCATGAGTCAGTCGGTCTAAGCAACACTGCCTGTGGTCTAGCATGAGTCAGTTGGTCTAAGTAACACTGTCTGTGGTCTAGCATGAGTCAGTCAGTCTAAGTAACACTGTCTGTGGTCTAGCATGAGTCAGTCAGTCTAAAAGCAACACTGCCTGTGGTCTAGCATGTGAGTCAGTTGGTCTAAGTAACACTGTCTAGCTGAGTCTAGCATGAGCATGAGTCAGTCGGGTCTAAGTAACACTGTCTGTGGTCTAGCATGAGTCAGTCACTGCACTGCCTGTGGTCTAGCATGAGTCAGTCTAAGTAACACTGCCTGTGGTCTAAGAGTCAGTCGGTCTAAGTAACACTGTCTGTGGTCTAGAGTCATGAGTCAGTGCCTGTGTCTAAGCAACACTGCCTGTGGTCTAGCATGAGTCAGTTGTCTAGTAACACTGTCTGTGGTCTAGCATGAGTCAGTCAGTCTAAGCAACACTGCCTGTGGTCTAGCATGAGTCAGTTGGTCTAAGTAACACTGTCTGTGGTCTAGCATGAGTCAGTCAGTCTAAGTAACACTGTCTGTGGTCTAGCATGAGTCAGTCAGTCTAAGCAACACTGCCTGTGGTCTAGCATGAGTCAGTTGGTCTAAGTAACACTGTCTGTGGTCTAGCATGAGTCAGTTGGTCTAAGTAACACTGCCTGTGGTCTAGCATGAGTCAGTTGGTCTAAGTAACACTGCCTGTGGTCTAGCATGAGTCAGTTGGTCTAAGTAACACTGCCTGTGGTCTAGCATGAGTCAGTTGGTCTAAGCAACACTGTCTGTGGTCTAGCATGAGTCAGTTGGTATAAGTAACACTGCCTGTGGTCTAGCATGAGTCAGTTGGTCTAAGTAACACTGCCTGTGGTCTAGTATGAGTCAGTTGGTCTAAGCAACACTGTCTGTGGTCTAGCATGAGTCAGTCAAAGCAACACTGCCTGTGGTCTAGCATGAGTCAGTTGGTCTAAGTAACACTGCCTGTGGCGAAGCATGAGTCAGTTGGTCTAAGTAACACTGCATGTAGTCTAGCATGAGTCAGTTGGTCTAAGCAACACTGTCTGTGGTCTAGCATGAGTCAGTTGGTCTAAGTAACACTGCCTGTGGTCTAGCATGAGTCAGTTGGTCTAAGTAGCACTGTCTGTGGTCTAGCATGAGTCAGTTGGTCTAAGTAACACTGCCTGTGGTCTAGCATGAGTCAGTTGGTCTAAGCAACACTGTCTGTGGTCTAGCATGAGTCAGTTGGTCTAAGTAGCACTGTCTGTGGTCTAGCATGAGTCAGTTGGTCTAAGTAGCACTGTCTGTGGTCTAGCATGAGTCAGTTGGTCTAAGTAACACTGCCTGTGGTCTAGCATGAGTCAGTTGGTCTAAGCAACACTGTCTGTGGTCTAGCATGAGTCAGTCGGTCTAAGTAACACTGTCTGTGGTCTAGCATGAGTCAGTTGGTCTAAGCAACACTGCCTGTGGTCTAGCATGAGTGATTGAGTGACACTGTAGTGAGCTTCAGTCAGACATATTACAATTCTACTGAGGTCTTAGAAACTAAATACTGAATCTGATTAAAACAAACCAGAGGCTGACAGCATGAACAACAGCCCAACACACAACACAATGCATCATACAGAGGCTAGGGTCTCAGCAGAAAGGTACCCTATACAAATTGTATTAATTGACGCCATTTATGGAAAAAAACGCAAAGGTATCCAAGAGAAAAGTTCTTAATATACAGGAATCATTTCTAAGTGTTACCTTACTAAACATGCATCCTGATGGACCTCACATACAGACAGTCGAGGAAATACGTAACCACAGTTAACGGGACCTTTACCCTAAAGTCAACGTGATATGACCGTTTGCACTTCAACACTATGAACACTTCAGGAAAAGGCTTCAAAGACCACCAGAATCACCTGAA